TAATGTAATAAAAATAAATTGTCGTAATTTATGTATCGAAGATTTTTAGGGAACAGAGAGTATAATTCCCTAGGATCGGAAAAGGAGGATCCTCCGGCAAGGTCTTCTTGCCTGGCGGGTTTTCTGCACGACAGTTGTTCGTTGGGATTTTCTATTCGTGTTTACTACCCCATTTATTTTATTACCCCATTGGGGTAGACGACTAATTTTTATTTTAATGTCCGTCTGATAGATTATTTAAAAACATTAGACACGTATTTTTTATTTTCTCACAGAAACGAATAGTTTCGAAGATATATTGATTTGAAATGTCGCGTGACGTCACTTCTCAGTACATTTTATACTAAGGAATGACGTTTTAGCCCCCACTCCTAAACTTTGATTCGTTTTATCTAAGTATTGTTTTATTATACGACAAAATAAAAAAATACGTGTCTAATATTTTTTCATTACCTAACTTACGGACTAATTATATTTTTAATTTTCATACCCTGTCATCATCCCCATTATCCGTAGATTTTATTGTCATCGAACGGTCTATTTGCGTGAGCTGTAATTTGACATGCGACACAGATGATTTACTTGCGAAAAGGAGAATGTACTCTATTCAAATGATAGCGTTGTCAGTACGCAGGTATATAATAATAAGGTTCTGTAGAATTATATTATATTAATACTGATGTAGTAGACATCAGTTAGTAGCAACAAATCTTACAGGCAGTGATTATGTTTACTAACCCATTGTCATTCCACCTACTATACTAACTACTAAAAACTACCGCAAAGTTAAGTTCGACGGTTCACTAATTTTGCCGTCACCACTCGATACTGGCAGTATAGTCGACAACACCGTTTTGGAGACTCGGTTGCCAAAGAAGAAAAAAAAAAGCAGCCTGTCATACACTTGTTGTCACACACACGCCATCGGTTGGTCCGATATCTCTGGTAGTGTTGCAAGTGCGATTGCACCCATGCAATTTTAAAACGAAAAGTTGTTTTTCTTAGGACATCAAAAACTCGTTTCTAAATATTTTTTACCAATCCGGAACTTAGAACAGGCGTAATTTATAATACAGTTATAAATATTTATGTTCAGTAATAGTTAGTAATCCAATATGCTATTAAGTAAATATCATTCTCACACAGACTTAAAAAGATTTTTTGCGGAAAGATCTGGCAACATTGATAAGAACCCAGATTTAAATAACTCTAATCTTTGTAATCGTAAACCGACTTCTTAAAATTGTGATATTCATATTGATTAATAGATACGGGAGTACATTGAGATTATTTTAAGGTTACCATGTGATAAGATTAATAAATCTCTGCTTAGATTAATTTTCATAGTCTTTTGACATTTTGATGTCGATAACTGACACGAAAGATTGGATTTGTTTTTCTTTTTTGCTGAAAGGAACACATATTGTAAAAGATTAGAAGTAGTTATTAGATAGATTTAGACTGCACAGCCAAGGGTCCGACTCCCGCACGGAACAACTCTTTGTGTGATCCACAATTTGGTGTCTCAGATCTGGGTGGGGCCCTCTGGTAACCTCACTCACACGACGAAACACAACGCAAGCGTTGCTAAACGTCGGTTTTCTGTGAGGCCGTAGTATCACTCCGGTTGAGTCGGCCCATTCGTGCCAAAGCATGGCTCTCCCACACTTAAATTGTTATGTGAAAAGCTTACAAAAATGTTTATGCAGTTTATTCTTCAAACATGTTACAAAAATTACACACAGAACACACACAGTTAACAGATGTAGGAAATATTATCTATACTCATGAATATTTTCATTTTAATGCAAATATATGAGTGTGACATTATAAAAACACGTGTATGAGTGCATCTTATCAAAATAAGGATATTTGTAGCATTGTACCTAATTGATATGAGAACATAGATTAACATGAATATTTTATATCATGTTACGACAAAAACAGGTCCATAAGATATGTATTAACTACAATTTTTGTTAAAGAAACACAGCTGATAGAAGCTCGACTATCTTACGAATTTTTGGATGTGGTACTCGCTGCCGATGACCTAGCTGGTTATTGGGACTCCTGCTCAAAGCAGGAATAGGGAGGGAAAATTGTAATTATTTCTCTCTCTTTGTATTGTAACTTTCGTGAGACATACTAAATAAATTATTATGTTTTCGGCCTACTGCTACGTAGCAGCGCGACAGTCGCCGCGTCGCAGGTCGCGAAATGCTGCTCATGAATATCAGCCTCTAGCATGGCTTGAAACTAGTCGAGTTCCGCGTCAAATTATTACGTGAGTAAGCCGAAAACATAATAATTTATTTCTCTCCCTCTATTATTCCCCCCTCAAAAAAAGAAGTGAAGAAACAAAGCGAATGTTTTTAATCCTCTTAATTTTTTGTATTCCGAGTTGATAAAATATTCCTTTAGTAAAGTCGGGGTGGTCCATAGGTTTAAGATGCCCGCTTCTCATGCATGAGATTGCGAGTTCAAAACCTACCAACAACAAGTACCAATGTGACTTTTTCCGAGTTATATGTACTTTCTAAGATTATCTAGACACCATTGACAAACGGTGAAGGAAAACATCGTGAGAAAACCTGGGCTTTATAATTTCTAATTATAAATTTGAAATTGATAACCCGCATTGAGCAAGGAGAAGAGGCGTTGATGATGATGAAAACATTCCTTCCTTATCCTTACTAATATTCTAAATCAGAAAGTGAGTTTGTTTGTTTGTTCCACTTTCACGCCGAAACTACTAAACCGATTGCTTTGAATTTTTGCAGACGTGAAGTTAGAAGTCTGGATTAAATAATAGGGTACTTTTTATTCCAGAAAAATTTGATATTCTCGAGAGAAAACGTAATTATTGGTATAGATGGCGCTATGTGTATTGGTATATGTCACATAGGCTACTTTTTATCCTTTAAAATTTAATTTCCTATACTGCAAAAAATACACTAATAATAAGAAGATTGTATCTTAATCATTCGAATTAGTAGCTGTTTCAGCTTATCGTTCGACATTTATCTCAATGTAACAGTCAGGTATTATGGCTTTTTTTTCTTTAGCAACCGTGTCTCCAGTGTTTATTTATGTATGTTCACGTTGGAATAACGTAATTACTACATTTTATAACTTTTTTTTTGGACTCAGTTTTTATATATACAGTTTTCGGCCTGTGGATTCACTTCCGTTAATAATAATTTGTTAATCAACTCAAAATACGTATTGATTCCTTTTCTCTTTATGCTTTAGCTTTTACACTATCTTTGGTATAAAATTAATGAAAATTTGTTAAGTAACTACGTTACAGTAAGGTTTTTAAAACGACCAAACTCCATTTATCTTTCACGATCTCTAGTTATAGTTCGATTCACGCTCGGAGCAACTCTTTGTGTGTTCTACATATTGTTGTTTAGGGTCTGAACGTCATGTGTATTTGAAATTATATGTTTGTAAACGCATCCACGACAAAGAAGAAAATCGTAGTGTTTTTTTAAGGCGGGAGAAGTCATCGAATGACTTCTCCCGCCTGGGTGATGCGGGAGGGAGTGTCAGACTCTTACTGACCAAAATACCCCGTTCCTACTCCTGCACTTCGAGCTGGAGCCGCGGTAACCCGTTAGGTTCTCCGCGGCTCCGTATCGGCAACAGCCTTATTGGGCCCCATCCGTGGTGGTCTGATGGCTCTTTGAGGCGCGCGCGGAACGCGACAATCAAAGAGTAGGCGTTTTATTTTAAAAAAAAATTAGCACACGAAGGTGCCTTTAAAACGTTTTAAACTAATACAGTTATTAAAAAATAATTTTATTAACTAAAAAGTATGTCTATAACCTCTGCTATATTTAAAACTAAATCGACATTGAAAATATCTATTACCTTATCGAATTATAAAATCAAACACGACCTCTCTACTTATACATATAGGCTACAAAAATACTAATTCAAATTTACTTACGACACATAATTTATTTTTAATATATTCCAGTAATAGATAAGTTCAATCTAGATGTATAAACAATATCTACTTTATCTATGAGTAAAATATTTAGTAATATACACCCATATCACAAAATTGTCGTTAGGATACATCACCATGAGTTTGTTTGTTTGTTTGAACGCGCTAATCTGGAGAAGTTCTGGTCCAATTTGGATAATTCGTTTTGTGTTGGATAGTGCAATTATTGAGGAAGGTTATAGGCGTATATATAAGAACATTATGTTACGGTACGGGTACAGAATTAGCTAAAATCTAATAAAATATAAGGTTTAGTTTGTTATTCTTTCACGCGCCTACCAGACTACCTCATTAATCTAATTTGAAACTCCACCTAGGTTGATTAATTAAATAATTATGCCAAAACACAGGTGTCTATAATTATACATCAGTTTAACGAATTAAAAAATTACGGTATAAAAATTCTTAAAAAAATAGGTCCGGCCAGGTGTTCCACTACACATTTAAAGAAAACACCACTTTCAGTGTTTGAAAATCATCATTATAAGGTAGCTCTGTATATGGAGAATAGGAATTCGAGGATTGTTGAGGATTCAGGGATTTTCATTAGTATTTGATACAGTATTTGATGCCTGACATTCCACCAAGAAGAAACTACAAAGTAACAAATACTGATTGAAAGATAGTAACTTCGAAGTTTCTTTTTCAGTCTTCTCTATAGGAATCTGTATTCAGGGCGAGCACATAGGTTCACTGTATATTTACTCTGATTCGACGTAAAACGAAGTTTCGTCCACAACTATGCAGATTTCGAATAAGGAATATAAATAGCAGATATTAGTATGAGATGTACTGATTGATGTACGGGCGCAAATCAAACGAAACTTCGCATTCGAGAACCGGACTAGATCTCCTGTGTACTCTGTCTTTGCTTAATATTGTAATGTACCAAGTTTTAATCAGGTCAAAGTGTACCTTTTGGTCTGATTAAAGAGTAATTTGAAATTGCCCTTCCAACATCAGTTACTCATCAATTCTTTCACAGGCTAAACTTCAAATGCCCTCTCGGTTTCAACGCAGCAGAGTACTACATTTCTTTGCTGGGCATTCAAGCAGACAAGGAAATGGAGAGCCGGGATAGAATCCGACGCATCTGTGATGAATACTCCAGATCTGATATAGCTGCCGAGATCGATAGCAAAGTCGGACACGTTAAAGATGAAACTGAATACTTTAATGGGGAAACTGATGAGAAGGTAGGTCTTTTGAGTTTGAAGAAGAAGTGTTTTGTTTAGAAATTTTCATGTGAGCCTACGGCGTCACAGTAATCGACGTAAAACAATGCTTGCGCTGTGTTTCGTCGTGTGAGTGATGTTACCGAAGGCCTAATTATCCCTCTCCCCTCCTTCCCCAATCCTGAATTCCCAACAATCCTCAAATTCCTAATCCACAAAAGGCCGGTAACGCACTTGTAACGCCTCTGGGGTTCTAGGTATACATGAGCGACGCCGATTGCTAACCATCAGGTCATCCGTTTCCTCGTTTACTGGTTTATCCCATAAAAAATGTATTTTCTCCTATTCTCTAAACGACTGTTTGCTCTGTTAAAGTTAGTTAGCCGTATTCATAGACTTAAAATCGAAGGAAAACTTCCATCACCTCTTGACTGATAGTAAAGAAATTAATTTTAACTTGTGTAACCTATTTTGAAAAAAAAATGTTTTTAACATACAATATTAATGCTTTCAAAGCTTTGCCATAAATATTCACTATAGCATTTTTTTATTAGTGATGTCAAACAGGAGCTTTTAAATAACTACTTACGTAGATTTATATTTGGTTTCCCATGGGATTTGCCAATTAATAGTAATAAATATCTAAGGTTTTAAGGTCGTTAAAGTGAAATCAGATAAAGGAGGCCTTATCTTATCTTATTTTAGAAAAATCAATTACATAATGGAAATCTTTTGGAAGTTAGAAGAATCTAAAATTGGGCATATCGAAAAATAATCTCAGATCGTTAAGATAGATGTTTTGTGTTTATGTTTTTACTAAATGTCAAGTCGATTAAATCATCAACAGTATCACGATTCAAAATACTAATGAATTCAGTTTTAATAAACAACTTAAACATTCATATAGAAAATGTCAATACGTAAATAAATAAATAATATTTTATTAGTCTAGTATTAGTTGTTACTATTGTCAAAAGAGATTCTCACGATGATAAAATTACAAATTATAAGAACAAGCATCGAAGATCATTTGAATTTCGTTTTGGAGCTAGATATGATAAATTAGTAGATATCTATTCTAATCTATCTATTGTAAAATGATATCCAATGAATGATTTCATTACAAACCTATATATTTTCTTTTTGTTTCAGGACCAATATTATGAGCGATATGTAACTCTGTAAGTTCGAATCATCTTAATTTTAATTCTTCCATAACTTTTCTAATGCGTTTCTTGTCCCTTATTTTGCATTTATCTAGATTTTTATTTGCAATAATTTTTAGTACAGTTTTATTTTTTTCCTTAACATTCTCACCGGTTTTTGAATCACCTGGTTCATCAATTTTTTTAAAAACTGATTCAATAGCTCGTTTGTGCCGTCTACTGATCATAGATTTCTTACAATGAATGGTATTACAGAGTCAAAGTGAATTACTTCGTACAATTCTACTGGTTGATGTGGAGGAACATACAGGCATTAAAGCGTAACTACACTATTTGGATAGCTGAGTTCTTGTTGCTTATGGTAAGTTTCAAATTCATCATCAGTTTTATCATCATCCTTATTATTATCTACTTAAAGTTTTTTATTTGCGTTTCATTCAATTGTGGTTCGAATGTAATTATATTTTGATTTGATTATGCCTGCACCATTTCTTTATCACACATCAAATCCGTACTTAATCTAAATCAAACTCAAATTCTCAGTTCATTCTTAAATATTAGATCATTTTAACCTCCGATTTCCAATATCGAAATCACGTTCACATCTCCATCTAATTCTATTCTCTCACAGTTCGTAGGTCTGATAATCTCAGTTCCCTACAACGGCCACTTCGACGAGTTGGACCAGCGTGACATCCAGAACGTGGAAGGTCTCCTCTACCTGACGATCACAGAAACGATATTCCTCTTCATATACGCCGTGTTCATTACATTCCCGAGCGAGGTTCCTATACTGCTGAGAGAGACAGCTAGTGGATTGTATGCACCGCTACCTTATTATTTGTCGAAGATGATATTCTGGGTAAGTTTTGATTTTCTATTTAACTGCATAGTAATTTTCATTTTTGTTCCTTTTTGACGTGTAGGAGTTACTTGTAGACGGATAATGAAATAGGTAGTCCTTAAGAAAGACATAGGTAAAAACTTTAAATGAGACTCAATAACCATGAAAATATGGCAAAATTATGCGTATAAGACATTTACAGAAGAATACAATTATTACGATATAATAGATACCCTAGCAGCACATCACCACGACGCCGATGTTCTTGTATAATATGAATACAATGAAAACTGTTACATTGGTTTAGACCTATCCGATTAGAATCACAACGACTTTGATTCATTCAACAAGTTCTTAAACACATAAATCATTCCTAAGGTGGGTGTTCGAATCTCCTCACTGTCAACCATTACCCATTGTCCACAGAAGTAAATATGAGTGTTGATGGAATTATAATGTGATAGAAAGTTTTATTTTTATAGCAAGGCCCTTAAACTGTGTCATCTACAAACGATCACGGCCAAACCAGTTTAGTGCTACCATCGTTAACATTCCGTTTAGAGGTTTTGGAATATTTTTTCCGTAAATTGTAGTCGTTTCCACATTGGTAATTATTAAAACGTTGATTTTACATAAGTAATCAATTTATTGGTAAGCTACTGCGGTATCGCTATCACATAAATCTTGTTTGTTAATGATTTTTGACTTGCTTATTAGAATATGTCGTAGAACTAGTTCATAGGATAATTGAATGAAAATTTTCATGATGATCATGATTTATCTTAAAAAAAATAGCTTTTCGCCCACGGTTTTGCATCTCTGTTATGATACATATAAACCTTCCTCTTGAATCATTAACTATCTATGTAAGAATCCCATCAAATCTGTCCATCTATTGCGCAAATTTAAAGATCTAAGCATACAGATACACAGACGGTGGTAAGCGATATTCTTTTATACTATGTAGTGATGTTCATGATAAATCGTGGTAAAATGTTTTTGCTCCTAGAATCAATTCCTTTGCTAGATTGTATGTAACTGTTGTTGTTGTCATTAATCAAGTTAAGTCTACTGAGACTGATCGAAGTACACGATGTTTGTGTCATTTTCGTAATCCTCTGTGTCCTAATGTCCCTAAAGAACATGAAAAGTAACCACTTAAGAAAAAGTGCGCCCAATTATATTACTGTACTGGCGACCCGACCAGGCTTCGCACGGGTGTTACATGCATGTATTATACACATAAACCTTCCTTAAGAATCACTCTATCTATTAAAAAAACTGCATCAAAATCCGTTGCGCAGTTTTAAAGATCTAAGCATACATAGTGACACACAGACGGCGGATAGCGACTTTGTTTTATAGTATGTAGTGATTACAGTAATTATTATCTTTCTTTTTATCCCTAGATACCGCGAGCAGTAATAGAACCGACTTTATTCACGACGCTAATATTCTTGGTTGCTGGACTGCATGGTGGGTTCATGGGATGGCTCGGTTTTAACTTCGTCTGTATCCTGTGTGCCAACTACGCGAACGCTTATGGTAAGTCCAAACTTTTCATCGATTGGTAGTTCTTAGCCCTTAGCCTTTTCCTTTTCTTTAGTTCTTTGTAGTTAGAACCTTGCTTCATTTCAGTAACAATTAAGCATGTAATCGAAATTAGAGGTTTTTGTAGTTTTTATATTGAAAGAACGTTGTATTTGTTTATTAATTTCACAATATTTGAGGCATTCTCTTCGTACAAATCAAATAAAATAAAATTCTAATTTATAACTAATAAAAATTACAAGGTTAATAAAATTTACTAGCATTTAATTAAATTTTATCAGCTGGCAAGGCTATCAAAATTCAAAATTCAAAATTATATTCTAGTTTACGACTAGAATGACTATTTAAAAATTGGCATTGCAATTCTCTTTTCGAAATTCCAGGCTCATTCCTATCGGCGACGTTCAACTCTATGGAAACTGCTGCATTGGTATCTGTACCTTTCGACCTGATTGGCACAATGTTTTCTGGTCTATACTTAAACTTAGCTAGCGTCACACCTTACTTGTCATGGCTTAGATTCGTATCAGGGTTCTACTATGGCGTTGAAAGCATTTCGATCCTCCAATGGGATTCTATCGAGACCATTGAGTGTGTAAAAATCGATGGTATGCCTTGTATAAAGACAGGACCAGAGGTTTTGAGAAGGTTCGGTTTTGCTGAGGAACATTTTTGGCGTAATTGTATCTGTTTGTTTAGTATGTACTGCATAGCTCATTTCATTGCTTTCCTTATGGTCATGAAGAGGAGTAGAGGCACTCCTGTTTATTAGAAAATAGTTAAATTGTACATAGTTTTTAACTTTAGCATCACTTCGGGCTGCTTCGATTTAAACCCGTGCCATAAAGGTAAACAGGGTCTAGGTCAATTAAGTTTCAGTTATAATTTACTCATTTATAAGTGTTTTCTAAGCCGTATTGATAAACTCAATGTCTTGATTGGCACTAATTTGATAGATCTGATGAATTGGCTCAATAAATGTTATGAAGTTTTTAAAATTGTGTTTGTTTACTGCCTTTTGTCCCTTACCTTTCCTTTTTTGCTTACAATTTACAGTTCAAAAATTACTTCTGTTTACAAACAGTTCGCAGCTTACTCATTTTGCATGCTGTACCTTACCTACCCAAAGAGTTTTCCTTTCAAGTAGTATAAGGTCAATAGCGCCATGGAATTAAATGTATGGCTGCATCCTACACCTAATGGTAACCCAAAAAAATCATTAGATGACTGCTTATGTAAGTACTGATAGTTCTTCCTTTACTCTGCTTAGATATTCCATTTAACATTAGCGTAAAATTCCTTAACTATTCTTCACTTTGTACAGTCAATTACATTTTTTGTCATTAACTTTCAAATTATTGTAATCATTCTAAAATTTAATGCGTCTACAAAAAATCAAGGCTTTGTGTGTAAATCTATTTTTATTCGTAGTCAACTAATGATATTTTTTATTCAAATTATGTACTGATTTGATTGGAAAATTATATAATAACTGCAGGATAATGAAATGCCGTTTTAAGGAGGTAAAAACTTTAGCTTATCATTATTACTTACATTCTTTACTTACGTAAAGGCTGGCTTGTCCGACGAAGGAATCACTTTGTCTTTTACGTTTATTTTTAATATGGAATCCTTTTTGGTGTTTACTTTACCGATTTTGGGTTCGAAACCTAGTTTAAACTATTTAATTCGGAAATTAAGATAGTAAAGTCACTTAGACTAGCCGCCTTTACGATTAAACTTTGTAACATCAGTCTAATAAGTAATAGAACTAGGTACACTTAACTATTTCAAATTAGAGGTAAGTAAATAAACATGCGTAATATTTCCATTTCAAAAACAACCTCTTTGGACTTTCCAGGCTCATTTCTATCAGCCACCTTCGACAAAATGGAAACGGCAGCCTTGATATCAGTTCCATACGACTTAATAGGATTAATGTTCTCAGGTATCTACCTGAACTTAGCCACTGCGCCAGTTTACTTCTCCTGGCTTCGATATATCTCAGGCTTTTACTATGGAACTGAGTGCATATCTGTATTGCAATGGAATTTAGTGACCAGTATACAATGTGTGAATGCTGAAGGCTTGCCTTGTATACGAACTGGAGCTGGAGTGCTCACCAGGTTTGGATATGATGAGAGGAATTTCTGGAGAAACTGCGCCTGTTTGGTAGTTTTGTACTGTGTTGGGCATGTTGTGGCGTTTGCTATGGTGGTGAGGAGGAGTCGAGGTACGCCGATTTATTGATAATAATATAGAAGGTTTGTTTGACTGGTGTACCTACAGAAAATTGTCGTGACCTGTCACGACGAAATTAAGGGTGATTATCATTATAGTTACATTAACAATCATAATAGAAACGATTAATTAATAACAAAAAGTTCAATCACCAAATTACATTTAGCATTGCGTAACATTACACAATAAAACCTTTTTGCTAACAAACTTTTTTTGAGCGGCCAGAACGCAAAGAGGTTTTATACCTGACCACAGATAATACCTATTATAAAGTCGTAGTATAATTTGAATATCGACAATGGTATAATCGTTTGACAAATTATAGAGCTACGTAGTGCTACGTAGATGGATGATAGCCGCAGAGAATAATCACATTAATCATGATACGCCACCCAAGTGTCGAAATGATTGGTTATGCTAGCCGTGGAAGATAAGACGTTTAAATCACTTAACGCCTATAAACGAATTATCGTATTGAGGAAACACGCCTGCTTCGAAGCAATACAGACGTTACCGACTAAACCTACATCAATTTGTCCAAGTCCGTATAATGCATTTTGAACTTTACAGTTTTGTGATAAAGTCGAAAATCTCTTAAAGGATATTATAGGTTTAGCATAGCTTGACGTGCTGGCGGTTTTAATTATAAAAAAAATAAAATAGTAGACAATCAAATTAATTTTTCGAATTTAAAATTATGTAAAACATCTTTTAGGTATTTATAATTCTGGCTATATTTCAATAAATTAAGACGTTTATTAATAACTGTTTCCAATAATAAATAACTATCGTGACCGTTATTTACAATTAAAAATAGAACAGAACAATCGCTTCTATATTTAAAATAGAATCGTCATTTTTTCTTTAAATAGCGTAGGACGTTTATGGTCAGGTACAATGAGATAAAAATAAAAGAATCAAACCTACATAGTTAATAGAACCGGCCAGTGATTCACGTTCGAATTACGAATAAGAAAAAAGAATTGGAAGCGGACTTTTTATGTCCGAGTTCTCCATATTACGTTAGTACTTGGTTTCCTCACTGAACCCGTGTATTTTGTCTATTGGGCTTCAGCTATTTGTAAATAAAAATAAATCATTATTTCATTACGTTCGTAAGTGTGACATTTATATAGGTAGTAGGTATTGTTATAGTATTAAGAAGCTCAATGTATTTTAGTGAACTACCTCTGTAGAACATATTTTTATACATTGTATTTTAAACCTTAACTTCTATAGATTAAATTATCTATTTTATAACTGTTTTTTTTTTAAATATTAATATGTTAAGGAACTCTTGAATATCGATTTAGACTAAGTATGTAATGTAATACTTTTTATATTAAAATACAAAATAAACATTAAAACAACAAAAAGGTATACAATAGTTTTAATGAACTTTAAAATTAAACCTTATTCTAATAAGCATAGCCTTTCTTTTCCTCCCTCTTTAACCCTAGGTATCCTAATAGGCACCAGATGAGAGTGATCAAGACAAACCCTAATGAATCTTGTAGTATAAAATTGTTCACGTATCCATTTTCCAATAACACTGTTGCACCATCCTTGACGCAGGTCGAAGTTTCATTCGTTGGACAATCTGGAAAAAGAAAATGTTTTCCATCAACATCATCTTGATAATTAAAATAATTATATAATAATCTAACAATTATATAATATCTAGTCATAACACCTCTTTGGGAAAAGAGAATATTAATGCACGTTACATAACATAACATAACATCACGCCTTTTACCCCCGAAGGGGTAGGCAGAGGTGCACATTACGGCACTGTACAATGTAACACCCACTTTTCACTATTTATGTTATGAGTCCCATGCAATAGGGGTTGAGCCTATTGCCATATACCGGGCACGATTCCAGACTCCGTGCTACTACTGAGAATTTAAAAAAAAACCAGTAATACATTGCTCGACCCGGGAATCGAACCCCAGACCCCGGCAGTTGCACTTGCGACCACTCAGCTAACGAGGCAGAATTGTGCCCGGTATATGGCAAATAGGCTCACCTCCTATTACATGGGAATCCTTATCCTTACTTCCTTACTAATATTATAAATCTGAAAGTGAGTTTGTTTGTTTGTTCCACCTTCACGCCGTAACTACTCAACCGATTGCTTTGAATTTTTGCAGACGTAAAGTTAGAAGTCCGGATTAAATAATAGGGTACTTTTTAACCCGGAAAAAATTGATATTCCCGAGGAAAAACAAAAGTATTGGTATAGATGGCGCTATGTGTATTGGTATATGTCACATAGGCTACTTTTTATTCTTTTGTGACGCGAGCGAAGCCGCGGGTAAAAGCTAGTGATAACATAAATAGTGAAAAGTGGTTTTACATTGTGCAGTAACATTAAGGAGTCATAATGTGCACCTCTGCTACCTCTTCGTCGGGTTAAACCTACATAAGGATGATTTTAGGATATCAAGAACGCTACTAGAGATGGGCCTCTATAGTATGGCGCCACTGAACTCGATTATTTTTTTCTGATATGTCATAATATCGGTATGTCTATTATGTTATTATCTACACAACACCTTCGTCTTAATATTCTCATGTTGGCTACACGCGATCTACTAATTATATTTTGACTAGTCTATTTAACTATATACCAAACTGTTACAAATAATAGACAAGGGTTAACAACTTAATTTTGATGTTATCTCTTTTTTAGTTCAGGTCAGGCAATCGTGGTATGTTTTTGATGTATCTATAAAAATAAATTATCCTTACTAATATTATAAATCGGAAAGTGAGTTTGTTTGTTTGTTCCGCTTTCACACCGTAACTACTAAACCGATTGCTTTGAATTTTTGCAGACGTAAAGTTAGAAGTCCGGATTAAATAATAGGGTACTTTTTATCCCGGAATAATTTGATATTCCCGAGGGAAAACAAAATAATTGGTATAGATGGCGCTATGTCACATAGGCTACTTTTTATCCTTTTGTGACGCGAGCGAAGCTGCGGGTAAAAGCTAGAATACAAAAATTTTGATAAATCTACTAAAACTTTTCCGATCTGAATAATCAAACACCTAAAATGAATACAATATATTTTTACGCAAAAAAAGAAACGACAACTTATTTCGCAGCAAGTAACGCATGTTACAAAAATACTTAGTAGGTATTCTAAGTATTTCTACAATGATATTTAATAACACTAGCTTTTTGTTGTTGTTGTTTAAACTCAATTTAGAATTAAAATATTAATCAGAAACATTTTAATCACATTACTAAAAGGTTAATTGCTAATGTTCTCACGTCCATCGATTATGATGTTTTAAATTTCATGTCAATCAAAGTCAGGTTTGAAATTACATTAGTTATACCAGTTCTAAATATTTAGTTTGGTTAGCTTAATGTGATGGAACTTGTCATTAGATATGATATATTATTATGATTGTACAGACGTCATTATGAAGACGTACTGCATTTTGTTTTTAGCAAAATGTTGCGCAACATTTTTCTTCTTTGCGCTTTAGCATAAGTTATCTACGCTAGCAAATTTTTTGAGTCATCATCATCATATCAGCCACAGGACTTTCACTGCTGAACATAGGCCGCTCCCAATGAATTCCAGATAGGCCGGTCGGAAGCAACCTGCATCCAGCGGTTCCCTACGACCTTGATCAGGTCGTCTGTCCACCTTGCAGATGGACGTCCTACGCTGCGCTTGCCGGTACGTGGCCTCCACTCGAGAACCCTTCTGCCCCAGCGCACGTCGGTTCTCCGCGCTATGTAATTTTATGACTAAACTTTGTAATTTATTTTCAACTATCATAATTAGCATTGTAAATTATAGAGACGAAATCTCAGTCTCGAATAAATATGCATTAAAGTACCTAACATATATCACATGAATACATATTTTGGCAATAGGCTCATCTATTTCAAGGGACTACTTAAAACTACACCAGCACCTCTATGCATAATATCAGTTCATAAACACAATGTTATATTACGAAGCTTCTTGGTCGCTATACTTAACCAAAACCAAAGCATTAAGTAAAGTTACGAATACGTGAATTAAAGTGGGCGTGAGATAAGATTTACAGCTAAAATAATTCACGACCGGCCTTGTAAATAGTTACTAAGTTACGATAAACAGATGAACCAACTTAAGAATATATGGCCCTTGTAAAATGTTGTCAATGTTATAAAAGGTCTTATCCTCTGTAATATATTACTTTTCTATTTAAAGGTATCGCAGATCATTAATCTTATGTCTTAATTAGAGCCGATTTTTCAATCATCAGTTAATTTTTCACTGTGGAATAAAATTGATATTTGACTGTTTTTACCACTGAGCACCTAGCTTCACTGACGGACTAACTGACAGACTATTAGTTATTTTGTATTTGTTGACGTTTCAAAAGTATCAAATTATGGTTTAATTGAATTAAATGCTTTGAATTTTAGTATGGAAAACTTGTCAAATATTCAGTTATTCCTCTGTTAAAATTTATCTGGCTTTGGAAAAATTGGCTCTTAGCAATGGAATACTGAAATGTTACTCAATTTTAAGTTGTACTTAAATTAGTTTGTAATACTAACAAAGAATTTGTATTGACAGAATTATACTTAAGCGCGACTTAAATTAAGTGACGTTTCAGTATTCCGGCGTTAGAATTTTATAGTTTTGACTTGATTTCTATAGGTGTTCATGGGTTGGCTTTGGCTACGAAGTTCTAAGAAAATATAGTGGTGAAGGATTAATCGATGGTTTATATTTTTTATTGTGATCGTTGCTGTGAACTAACATAAAAACGTAATGAAGAATGAATAAGAAGTCCAATGTCGAATTTGATACCCAAGTCGGGTTGAGTTTCATTTGGATTATTCGATTTTCGAAACCTTAGCAGTACTCGGTAATATTGAGGGTTAAACTCTACAGCAATAGCACCTCGCGTCTATTTCAATATATCTAGAAAAGTATACATCAGGGACAGATATTTTCGCCTGACTTAAATAAAAGAGGCATTACATAAAAAATCTATATGGACAACTGCGATTGGAGTGTATGTTTGTCATATTAAAATAACCGCTTTTTACTACATGCATAGCAAAATAACATTTTTACAATTTTCGTCTGTCTGTACTGGCTAATCTTTCAAATGGCTGGATCGATTTTGACGGGACTTTTATTGGCAGTTAGCTGATGTACTAAGTAGTAACATAGGCTACCTTTATTTTGGAAAATTGAAACAATAAAAGTGATGTCCTAAAATTCATATTCTACCAGACTGTAAGTCGCAGGCTAGTATTAAATAAGTATCTTTAAAACCCTTACCAATAAAATCAATTTGTCGCCAATACACATTGCTGATCGCATCCATAGTGTAGTAGAAATGCGATATATACTTGATGGGGAACATCCAGGGCGGTAATGAAGATATTCGCAGGAACGCTCCTGACATGAGGAACAGTGGGAGATCCACACAGGGCATGACGTCACCTATGATGCCGGTTGATGTGAACAATGCTGCCATGCCGAGACCTGGTGGAAATAGGACAAAAACTGTGGTAAACAAATCTGGACTTAGGTACAATAGAATTAAAATTGTAAATCTCTATTGAGGTTCTCACACAACAAGCAGTTTTTTTAATCCATTTGGGACTCTTAAGGTTTTCATCTTAAGCTGAAATAAATATACAGGCGTTCTTTTCAGCAGTAGAAAAGTTACAGGCTGTTTTTATTATCGTCATCACCATTGTGACTATTGATATCATCAATGCTTCGTTCAAGATCCAAAAAACCTTAGGTATTTTTATTAATTGACTACCTATTGTATCCTTGCCTATACCCAATGGATGACTGTACAAAAAGTATACAAATTGAGGTACCTAAGCTTAATGTCAAAGGTAGATTGACGCCCAGTTGTGTTAGTTACTAGATTTTTTTATGGCATAAGCCGGTAAACGAGCAGACGGATCACCTGATGGTAAGCAATCAGCGTCGTACATGGACACCTGGAACACCAGAGGTGTTACAAGTGCGTTACCGGCCTTTTGGGGATTAGGTGTTTGAGGATCGTTGGGGATTCAGGGATTGGGGAGATTGGGGAAGGGGAGGGTAATTGGGCCTTCCAAAGATTTCCAATTTATTAATAAATGGTAATACTTACTACAAAGTTATCTCATTCGCCGCCGCATTGCAATCATAAATTACATTTATTATATAACTATAAAACTGTCACCATTAATTTTTTAATTTAATAGATTTGCAGTATAATTTTTCATACCTTAATTTCATATTTTTATTTAGTGGTCTAATATGTTTTTTTTTATTTGATTGCTTTATATGATGCAAATGCCATATTGGCCAAGCAGCAGGCATTAAATTTTATTTATTTCTATGGACTGATTTTTAAAGCATCAGTTAATTCTATGGAAGTAAAATAAGTATGGAAGAATTGTCAAATACCTATTGAAAGTTATTCTTAAGATAAAATTTATTTGATGTGTGAAAAATCGGCCCTATGTAAGATACCTATAGTAATAAAATGGCGGTTGAAGTTTCAAATTAAATTTCAAACATAACAATGCCAGAATTGTGTCATTTGGTGTTCCTTTTTCTCTGGCTACTCCAATCGGAGACAGGCGTATCGATATGTTGTTAGTCGTACAAACTACAAGATTAAACTTCCTTATTCGCTTTGAAAGAGTCAATTAAAGCAAATTGGGTCTTTGTACTCCTAATATCGATAATTTCTGATCGACAATCGACATCACAACCAAGTAGCAAGCAATCATCATCAACAGCCTATAAATGCCCACTGCTGAGCAAAGCCTCTTCTCACACTGAGAAGGTTTGAGCATTAATCACCACGCTTGCTCAATGCGGGTTGGCGATTACAAACTTATAATTAAAAAATATAAGCCCAGGTTTCCTCACGAAGTTTTCCTTCACCGTTTGTCAGCGGTGTCTAGATAATCTTAGAAAGTACATATAACTCGGAAAAAGTCACATTGGTACTTGCCGTTGGTAGGTTTTGAACCTGTACCCTCATGCATGAGAAGCGGGCGTCTTAAACCTCCGGGCCACCACGACATAGCAAGCAATAATTGCGTCTTTTTAAAAAACAATTATGTTTTTGCTTGTGGAGAAATTGGGGCATTTGAACTCTTTAATATTCATGTATACGTGCTACATAAAATTGTGCCATTATTTGACCTTACCATAAGCAACAGCTGGGATGGCGCTCACGACCAGTAGGACAATGAACTCCAATGTCGTGATGACGTGGTTGGGCAGATCCACGGCTAGAGATGAGATGGAGACCAGGACGACAGGCCATATTATGCAGCGTGGTATCTGGAAGTGAAAAATATAAGATGAGTTTCCAGGAAAGTAAGGTAAGGTGTTCCCTAAAATTTCTTTTAAGATGTTTTTAATATATCATTTAGCTCTAGCTGGTAGGCTTTTTCAGTTTCTGGTGTAAGTATTCTTTATTATTGTTACTGTTTAGTTACATCGTCTAAAATTATCGGTGGCATTCATGTACACGGCGTATAATAATGATACAATTATTTTCACTAAATAAGTATACTAAAGATTTTGTCACTAGGTATTAGATAGGTACTATTATAATTCAAAATGCCACAAAATACTTACAAAACTTAAAAACCGGGACACAAAATAAGCCGAACATTTATAGACGCCGACTTCTCTTTTGAACAGCGATATTTCGTACTCGAAAGCGTAGAGGGCGCTGTATGATACTCCAAAGGATACTTCGCTGGTAAGGAGCCAGAGGAAGCCACGTATCTCTTGGACTCCACGCTGGGTTGTGCCTGTAGCTCCTACGTAGGCTACTCCTAAGACCATTGATGTTATTACCTGTAAGGGGAAATTCATAAATTATCCAAAGACTAGTTCACTACTTCAACAATAAGAATTAATACATATGACTTATTTTTGAAAAAGATAGCATCGTTAGTTACATTAGTAAATAATGGATTAAATTTTTGAAGAGGATGCTTTCTGTTACATTGACCCTAAGTGGCGAAAAGTATGTGGACATTTTAGAAGACACGCGATCCTCTGCAATTAGACGCCCTTTCGGCTCCATAGGAAAATAAAAGTATAAATATAGAATACTTGGCCACAGAAAGACACTATAAGAAGAGACGAGTGGAAGGAGGGAAGGCAAGGGAAGGAAACCTATGCCATGCGGTTGGACGACCATGGCTAAAAATAAATAAAATAAATAGGAAACTTACCACAGTAATGAATAATTGTAGAATTTGATTCCTAAGTTCTCTTTTTAATGTTAAAGAGAGCCTCCATAACAATAAGTGTACTTGTTTGAACCAATTCCTTTGGACACTGGAAGAGAAAATACAATACTTTTAAATAACCACAACACAAGACAGCACAACACAAGGGATACATACGCAGTTTTTGTATCTGTTGAATACTTAATTCAAGAAAAGTAACAAAATTTTCTCAATATAGATCGATTGGATTGGTAATTTTAGTGTGGGTTTTTTATACTTTATAGGTTAACGTTTGGCCACCATCTCGCCTGGTGGTAAGCGATGATGTGACCGACGGAGCACGCCTACCTATGAGCAACCTGTTCACTCGGGACTTGAAGACACCCAAGTTATATTTGTCGGGAAACACAAATTCCGGCAAGGAATTCCATTCCTTAGCGGTTCGCACAAGGTTCGCTTGACGCGAAACGTCAATATCATATATCTATCTATCTGTACTTTTAGCCATAAGTCTTTTTTTAAGGGGGAAAATCATCGAATGACTGCTCCCGCCTGGGTGAAGCGGGAGGGAGTGTCAGACTCTTACTGACTAACAACCACCGCGTTCCTTCTCCTGCACGTCGAGCCGGAGCCCTGGTTACCCGTTAGGTTCTCCGCGACAGCCATAATAGTGATATACTTAGAAGATAATAGCTTTTTGAACTTTACATAGATTTAATTTAAAAAAAAACAACACAAAATTTCCTATGACATTTCGAATAATTTATTAAATTAGTCTGTCTGTCGTCGTATGTTTTAATAAATTCACGGATATCGTAGACAGGTTGGTGCTTCGAAATTCGGTCCATGACCATCACTCACATTTAACCCATCGTGTTTTTAAACGTGGATCCACGCTAGACACAATGTATTTTCTATTATGTCTTATATAGTGTGGGGCAACGTTTAAAAAAATATACATATACATATATATATATAAGCGGTTAAGGACACGAGTCCGAATTGACCTTTCTCTCCGATAGCCTAGACGATTCTATTATCGTAAAAACTTAAAAAATCCACACATTATCATAACAACAATAGCAAAAGTCGTTTCTCCGTATATATTTAATGTATTTACATATATATAACATCTGCATTTTCCACATAATACATGTACATTTTAAATGGACATTTAATTAATATCGAATATCAGCGCTGCTACTCTCGTTTGACAAAAGGAGTCCTATTAAATAAAGGATGTGCCTATCTAGTCCTCTTAGACTATTTGTATGTTTATTAGGTTTTATGTCTTGACATTTGCATACAAAAGATACTGTTTTATAAATAATATAAAATGTGTGACAAAACAGATATTGGTTAGGTATATTGGAAATAGCTGCCATTGTTTGTTGCAAATTATTTAAATTATATATATGCAGCATATATTTACATTAGTATCACTTCTTGAACGATAGACTATGTAGTATAATTTTAACCTCACGCCTTTTATCCCCAAAGGGGTAGGCAGAGGTGCACATTATGATATTTAATGTCACTGTACAATTTAATACCCACTTTTCACTATTTATGTTATGAGTCCCATGTAATAGGAGGTGAGCCTATTGCTATATACCAGGCACAATTCCAAGCTCTGTGCTACCACTGAGAATTTTAATGGAACTTGCGACCCCTTGCCCTTGCCCAACGAGACGGTCAGGTACACATGCTCTATCTTTCTAATATTATAAATGCGAATGTCTGTAAGTTTGTTTTTCAATCACATTAACGTCCAATTTCAATAACCTATATATCTGTAGATTTGCTTACTAGAGATAGAATTTTGACACTTTTTGTATGGAGCTCATGTCAAAATTCTGTCTCTTTTTTTTTAAGGGGGGAAAATCATCGAATGACTGCTCCCACCTGGGTGAGGCGGGAGGGAGTGTCAGACTCTTACTGACTAAAAACCACCCCGTTCCTACTCCTGCACGTCGAGCCGGAGCCCCGGTAACCCGTTAGGTTCTCCGCGACAAAATTCTATCTCTAGTAAGCAAATCTGCAGATAGATAGGTTATTGAAACTGGCAGTAAAACGCTTGAAGGAATTAGAATCAAATTTGGAACAGGTGTAGATTATAGTCTTTAATAACACATAGGCTTCTTTTTATCCCTCAAAAACGCGGGCAAAGCCGTTGGCAGTAGCTAGTTTAAGTATTTGTCTATAATTCTTGTTTTATGTAAACGGTGCGTAGAGATCATTCGGGAAAATACGATTTGTAAGCACTTGGTGAAATTCCTTCATATTGAAATTTCTTCAAAAGAAAGAAACATAAACATAATGTCTATATTAATATAAAATATGAATATTTACACGCGAACGAAGTCGCGGGTAATAGCAAGTAAACGCATAATATACACATCTAGAGCTTAATACACTACTACATATCTACCTTAAATATTGTAGAGTTATATAAAAAGTTGAGCCTAATTATCAAAAGAACAACAAGGCCTTGTCACGTTTTGTAGCACGCGGCCGACACACGGATGCCATAAACAACATGCTTTAAAGAAACTGGCTGAATTGTTCCAGGTATTGATACAAAGATTCTTTGATAAGGCGTCTCGTTTAGAGAATGAAGCTAAAAAATTTATAAATACTAATAAAAATGGTTATATTTTTAAGGGGGGAAAATCATCGAATGGCTGCTCCCGCCTGGGTGAGGCGGGAGGGATTGTTAGACTCTTATTAACTAAAAACCACCCCGTTCCTTCTCGTGCACGTTGAGCCGAAGCCACGGTAACCCGTTAGGTTCTCCACGGCTCCGTATCGGCAACAGCCCTATTGGGCCCCATCCGTGGTGGTCTGATGGCTCCGCGACATACTGCTATGGGTACGTTAGTAGTTATATCTCGATGATCTATGGTGATCACTGAGCTACTATTTCAGAATATTTTCTGCGATTTTTTTACATATTTTATAATATACTAGCTGTTGCCCACGACTTCGTCCGCGTAGAATATGAATTTTAGAACATAGCTTTTTTTTGTTACAATGTTCCAAAATAATAGTAGCCTATATTATACCTCTATACTCCTTAGAATCAGCTACCTGCCAATAAAAGTCTTAAAATCGGTCCAGCCAGATTCCAGAGATTAGCCAGTATATAGACAAACAGACAGACAGACAGACAAAAAAATGTTATTTTGGTATGTGTATCGAATATATACTTATTCATATACATGCATGTAGTAAAAGGCAGTTATTTTAGTATTACAAACAGACATTTCAATTTTATTTATCTGTATAGATAAATCTTATGTACCTATAAAATTTAACCCAACAACAAATTGAAATGAGATAATAAAAGCAATCAAGATCGATGTTTCCAGTAGTTGACTAACTTACTAAACTTACAAGACAGCTAACAATTTAATTATGACTTAAAATATAACTAACCTAACAAAAAATGTGATGTCTACTAATATTAGTAGTACTTGGATTACTGATTAGTATACTAAACTTAATTTTAGCTACACTTTTTGTTAATACTATGTTGCAACAGGTAATGCGATATACTAGACGTTCTTTCGAATTATTTAATTACCTTCTGAAATACTTTTAATTATCTGTGGTTTTGAACGTGTCTATTTATTGCAGCCTGTCATTTTAATTTGACATGAAAACCAATACGGTAGTTGACAGCTAATCAGTGTCCGTATTTTGTCATAATGTGTCAAAGAAGTCATTCTGTTTTTTTCTTTTTTATTCTTATTTATTTACAGGGTTTGTTCTTAATAGAAAATGTTAACTACTCTGATTATTGCGTACACGAATAACTAATAATACATTTAATACCTAATATAATAATAGGGCAACGTTTAATTAAAAAAAAAATTAAAAAAATTTGTCTACCCGACACCTTAACTCTTTGAGTACCGTCATTATAGACACAATTAAAGAACAATAGGTTGCGGTCACCCGTGTTTGACAGTTTAAACCTACTTATAATAATAATTTTGTATATTTTTCTAGCCTCAACTGACAGTGGAGAGGCCAGAACATCCTAAAAAAAATTCTACATTGGACCCACAAACAAAAGCTTCAAGCTTTTTTTTTTAAAAAAAACATTGCCTCACTCTAGGATTTTCTCCTGTATCGTGGGTGCGTTTACAAATATACAAGTTCACATACACATAACACCTAGACCCGGAACAACAATCTGTGGATCACACAAAGAGTTGTTTCGTGCGGGAATCGAACCCGCGACACGTTGCGCGGCAGCCAATTGCCCAACCACCGCACCAACAGTGCATTCATTTGCAACAGGAAGACTTTAATTTGAGATCTATAAACATTTAATTATGTATGTATTAGTATATGTATATATGTATGAATGTATGTAGGTATGTATGTATGTATGTATGTATGTATGTATGTGTGTGTATGTATGTATATAATTCTATATTAAAATTAATTAATTTGTTTTTTAATGTTTTCTCTTTTACAATATATAAATAAGCACCTCAGTACGCCAAGCTATAACTACCTCATTTAATATCCTACTATAGTACCTATTCTATCCACCCAAAGGTTGCCTGGTAGATATCGCTTTTAGCGATAAGGCCGCCTTTGTACCCTATTTTCTTTATTTGTTCCTTGATATACTGTCTCAAATTGGTGTACAATAAAGATTATTTATTATTATTATTTACATATATTTATTTAAAATTCTCTATAAATTATATTTCTAAATACTACTTACAAAATTAAAAAAATAATAATTATTATTATTATTAAATTATGCGTCAATGTAATGCAATTTCGATTTTTTTGTCAGCGAATTCATTTCCAATTTACCTTTTCTTTACCCCAACCAATATTCCTAAAGTACGACTCACAATCTTAAATAAGTTCATCAAACTCAATTACTCACAAAGCAAACCCATTCATAAAAAAATGGTTCCGAAAAACAAATTAATCTCCAGTGATCTGTGGCCGACTATAAAAATGGATCTTCGAATAACAAAACTAAACTTCCGAATAGAATATTGAACCTCCGACAAAATTACTAAGTTACCGACAACATACGTTTTAGGTTAGGTTAGGTTAGTACCTATTGTAGCAATAAACAGTCATGTAAAGTAGTCGGAAAGTTAGTATTATATTTTCAGTAAGGACAATTCTTCTCTTTTATTACTACCCATAAAAAATGTATTAAAAAGTGTTATACTCACGGCCTATTATAAGTATGGACCAAATCGGGTCGTATGGAACTCGTTCTGTTGTACTCCAACCGGTTTTGGGAAATTTCCACTAGTCTATGAACGTTGCCACTGGAACTGACTGCTCTGATGTAGAATTCTGCTGGGTTATAGTTCAGGGGACACAGCAGACCTATGCTGGAATAAGAGACAATGCAGCTGCTAAATTACCATTCATAACATAACATCACGCCTTTTATCCCCGAAGGGGTAGGCAGAGGCACATTATGCCACTGTACAATGTAACACACACTTTTCACTATTTATGTTATGAGTCCCATGTAATAGGGGGTGAACCTATTGCAATTTGCCATATACATTACCATTGACTTTTATGAAAATGCGGTAAGTACATAAAGACTTTATTTATGAGGGCCGTACATCTATTATTCACCGTTCATTTGTTATGGATTAACTAAGAGTCCATTAGCAATCATATTGGAATGAGTTTTGTCATATAATTATCCTCTAAAACGATTATATTAACCAAGTAATAATTTTTCACCAAATTACGTCTGAGAAAATGTTAGACAAGAGACATGTCGCGGAGAACCTAACGGGTAACCGGGGCTCCGGCTCGACGTGCAGGAGAAGGAACGGGGTGGTTTTTAGTCAGTAAGAGTCTGACACTCCCTCTAGCCTCACCCAGGCGGGAGCAGTCATTCGATGATTTTCCCCCCTTAAAAAAAAGACCAGAGACATTTTTTTAGCAATTAAGTGGTTTTACGAGGTGTCAAAAATGATAGCGAAAGTAATCGAAAAAAAATAATATTTTATCGGTAGTTTCATAGCCCCATAAACCTAACCAAAATATACCAAATATGGATTTTTCCATAACATGTGAAGAAAAACAAACAAAAAGCGTTTCTGATTCACGCGACTGCAAAGCATTTACTTATTTTCATTTGAAATATGGACAGGCGTCGCAATTTGCAGCACTTAAATATGAATTTATTTGACAAGATTATTTGATATTTCAAATTCTAGAAGAACAACAGCTTAATTTTATTAATGTTTTAAATGTGGCTCATAAATGTTAGAAGAGAATGAATTTATGACCGTCAGCTCGCCGGGAGCTTAGCAATTAATATAAAAATTTCCATAATATAATAAAAATGACTTAAATCAACCCTAAATGGCGTTGTTTTATTGTTCTAAGAGATATAGCTTTTATCAGCTGTAATAAATTCAGTAGTGATGCGATTGAATATGCATGTGTTCGTTTTTTTGTTTTTTTATATGACACATTAAGTGATGCTATTTTTCCAAAAGCGCCAATCCATTATATACCTAACACAGAATAGACATCTACAAAAAATATTGTATTCCGCGCTCAGATTTCTTTTTCGTTTCTGAGTGCGATTATTTTATGATGTTTTTTTTTTAAATAAAAACCTTGCCCCCCACACTAGGATTTTCTCCTGTGTCGTGGGTGCGTTTACAAACATACAATTTCACATACGCATGACGCCCAGACCCGAAACAACAATTTGTGGATCACACTAAGTGTTGTTCCGTGCGGGAATCGAACCCGCGGCACGCTGCACGGCAGCCGGTTGCCCAGCCACCGCACCAACCGTGCAGTCATCAATGTGTGTGTGATGTGTATGATATATACTTAGTAGGGATAACAAAGACAAATATTAGTAATAAGGATTAGGCTACACAAAGTAATTTTGTATCTTAACTCGTCGAGTACCGGTTTTATAGACACAATTAAAGAACAATAGGTCGCGGTCACCGGTGACCGCTTGGTGTTTGACAGTTTAAAGGCGTTAATTTTGGTCAGATTCGTCGCTTTTATTTTTTTTAATGTAGTAGATATACGCATCAAAAACTGGACATTACAAACACAGATATAAAATTTTATTATTTAAAGAGAATGCGTCTAAATATTCAACGTATCAAACTAATAATGTCATAACGCTTCGAAGATGAAATATCGAAATGTTTAGCGAACAATTTTGACCGTTCCGGAACAGACCTGTGTAAAATTTTATAATTTATTTAATAGTTTACGCCTTAACGAACTAGTAGGCGGTTGTTATGAAAGGAGAGCTAAATATACCAACCTTTTTATATAAATATCCTTCTATAAATATGTAAATATAAATAATAATCCGTTCAATATGCCTACGGATCTTGGTTATATAATTTTTTCTGCAAATGAAGTTTTAGACGGCTACAAAAAAGGACAGTTATTTGGCTTAACTGATAAAATTGGCAATGCCCTAACAAACATTATTAGTTCTTCAAGGCCTCCAATATGACACCCTAATTGTAGTTTTATTAAACTTTGAACTGATGCATTTCTTACTGACTCAGATTAAAAAATAGGCACATTGAACGCATGGCTACACAGCACAACTAAAGTTAGTAATTAGGAGACGAAAATCGTCGTACATCAAATTACTTATGCTTACCTTTCAAATACATCTTTGCATTCATCCTGTGAGCCATGGAACAGTAGTCTACCTTCAGCCATTAAGAGTATAGAGCTGAACTCCTTAAACAGATCACAAGAAGGCTGGTGTACGGAACAAATGACGATCCTGCCTGATGCTGACAGCGTCTTCAGTACACCAATCACGAGGAGTGCGTTGTAACTGTCTAACCCTGTGGTTGGCTCATCACAGATCAGTATTTGTGGGTCTGATAGGAACTGTAAGAAAAGGTTTATCATAACGTTTGGATGTAACAGAAAAAGTTTGAAGACAAATCCTTGAAGGCAGGTCACCGGTGAACCACGCGGCCGTCAGCTCTATATAGGGTGATTTGTAACTCACTCCCTTTCGGACCAGAGACCTCAGGACTAATTTTGTAGGAAATTTGTTGTATTATCGCCTCTCGAGAGGAATACGTCGAGTTACAATTTACCCTGTATAGATGTCAAAGTCAAGGCATTTATTTATCATAAACTAGCTTCTGCCCGCGACTTCGTACGCGTACCATCCCATTTTTTCCCGTCCCCGTTCGTGATTTTCGGAAAAAAGTTAAAAAAAAATTGGTTAAAAAGTATCCTATGTCGGTCTCCTGGCTCTAATCTACCTCCCTACCAATTTTCAGCCAAATCTATTCTGGCATTCTTGAGTTATAAGTGGTGTAACTAACACAACTTTCTTTTATATATATAGATTAGGCACTTTAGAAACGTCAAAAATTTAATTGTCCGTCCATCTGTTAGTCAGTGCAGCTAGGTGCTTGTTCCAAAGAGTAGTTTCGAATGGAGAAGAACGAGGAAGAAACTCCATCGTTACACTTTTTAAAAATCTTTCAAAAACACTTTTAGCAATACTATAAACATGATTTAGTAATCGAACCTACGAAAGATTCGATTATGCACTTGAAGTGGAGCCTAAAAAGCGAGTGGTTTGGGTTTGTGCACATCCATATTTAGGTATCTTCCGAAAAGTCATAAGAGCTACGATGCAAATTGAAAAGATGAAAATTAATCTTTATCTCTATATTGAAGAAAAAGGAGCATTTTTTTGATGGGTCTATCCCGCCACAATCTTCCAAAACCGCAGCAACTCCTGTAAGCCAGGATCTACAGTAGATACAACCATGAAAACACCGGAACACTGAAGTCCGGCGCGTCCCAGGGCCATGAGTAACTGTCTTGGTTCCCGCAACGAAGTGAAGCAGAAGATAATATAAGAAGAGAAGAAAAAAACGATAGTTTCCACTTCCCTCGGTGAATTACTGCAGGAGACAGAATGAATTAAGCATAAAGACACAAAAAAGAGACTGTACAACTGGGTGAAGCCCAGTCGCCAAGCACCACGGAAATTGGACAAATAAAGAGCATATTAACTAATATTCGGAATTCCAGTGTGTTAAGATCCTTTGAACATCACCATTACCATCAGTAGGCAAAAAGAGCAGTAAATCATAGATCAAGGGCATTTGTTTACCGTAGTAGCGAGTGACAGCAATCTCCTTTCCCCTCCGGACAGTCCTCCGACTGGAGTGTTGACATGATGTTTCAATTTAAACTCCTCCACTATGCTGTTCAGCATAGACCTAATCCTCAGATCTTTGCAGCTGCCTAGTCTCATTTCAGTCTGGAAAATTAAGGAAAATTTTCTTTAGCATCAATTGTTTGGTAATAGCTCGTCACTGACGTTTTAATAATCTTCAGCTGTTCGCGTGTTGACCAAAAACATACTATAAGCCTGGAAGTCGACGAAAATAGACTAATGATCCTTCTTCACCTGTTTATCTAGCTTCCTACTTCCAATACCTATACATGCGCAAACTATTCGAAATAATATTTTAGAATGGTTTGCGCATTTCGAAGTCCGCCAATTTCACAGTGTATGTGCAATAAAGTTTAAATAAATAAATAATGATGGCAATAAGTAGATTTCCATAATCAAAGATCTTTTTTTTTTTATTCCTTAGAAAGAAAGTCCTCATGTATGTTTTATATTCTTTTTAACTCGTCGAGTACCGGTTTTATAGACACAATTAAAGAACAATAGGTCGCGGTCACCGGTGACCGCTTGGTGTTTGACAGATTAATAGTGTTTGTCTTGAAATAATAATTAAAAACCTATTAAACGTATGTCTGTCGAATTTATTCATTTGGGTTCATTAACAGAGGCATAAATTTTAATGACACGATATCCAGACATTGTTTTTTAAAAATACCATCAGCCACTTTAAAACTTTTGATGATACGTATTTATAAAATCGATATAACAAAAACAAAGGCGAAGTTTCTTATTTTGTTTCAGTATTTTAGTGTTGATGTTATCAGTGTATGATAATATCGAAACGAGAAAGTTAGAAACTCAATTTACATGCGAGTACAGTCGTCTACAGAACTTTTACGATTACGATGATATTCTCTGAAGTATTACTCGGTTAAATAAAAAAATATCAGTAGAAGCACGGGGTCTGGAATTATGCCCGGTATATGGCAATAGTCTGACCCCCTATTACATTGGACTCATCTATACTAATATTATAAAGCGGAAGAATTTGGTTTTTTGTTTCTTTGTTTGAACGCGCTAATCTCTGAAACTACTAATCTGATTTAAAAAATTCTTTCTGTGTTGGATAGCCCATTTATCGAGGAAGGCTATAGGCTATAAAATAACACGCTACGATTAATAGGCGCCGAGCAGAGCGAGTGAAACCGCGCGGAAATATATATAGTGAAAAGTAAGTGTTACATTGTACAGTGGGCTTTAAGTGCCGTAGCTAATGTGCTCTTCTACCCACCCCTTCGGGGACAAAAGGCGTGATATTATGTTATCTGACCTATTTGTTTTAAATGACTAAAACCTTAAAAATAAATTTAGATAAATTGTATCTAGTTTAAATTGAAACAAGAAATAAGGGACCTTTACATTTTAAATTATTACGAAAGGTTAAGTATTCAAGGTATATCATTAGGCTGTTCATTATTTTTTTATTATTTACTGTCTCCAATATTTATTATGACAGACCAAAATATTTAAGATATGACAATAGTTTGGGAAAATAACCAGTAACTTTTGCCATGAATAGTACTGGATTAATATAATAATACTAATAGATTTACATAACAAGATAAAATCAGACGCTTTGTATGCAGACTTATGTCGTACATAATAAAAGCATTGTTATAATTCGAACATAAAACTAAATAAAATTAGCTTAAGCACAGATAAAGAAAAAACCTAAATACTTAAAAAATAACATAAAAAAAAAAAAAAAAAAAGTCTAGATAAATTCGAACAGTATTTTTAAAGACTTATTTTTGGTCTTCTTTTATAAAAAAAAAAAGAAAAAAAAATGCAGACAATAGCCACATTTTTGTACCAGTCGACCTTATTATGTATCTTTATTGATTCCAATACAAAATTAAGGATGCTAAATATATTTTAAGAGCTCTCCACACCTGCGAATGTTGCCATCCGGACCTTTTTGATTAATTAATTGTCTTACATTTTTTTATATATCATAGACTTAAGTTTTAAGAATTATAAATTGACGTTAAAATTCGTAAGCATGTTATTTTGAGCCTATTCCTTTTATGGAGGTCACTTTTGAGATGTTGACAATATTAGTCCCAGTTAAAATAAAATGCTAAAGATCATAGTGGGTAGTATACCGAGTACTGGGTACTACATCGAACTTTATCTTAAACGAAGTTTAATTAAAGCATAAGACAGATAAAGGGTATCAGACTCTTACTGACTGATAACCATTGAGGTATGTACTGGTATCAAAATCCTACGCAGCAAGCCCTGTCCTTAATACGATAACATTTAAACCAGGAAATCCCCATAGCTCATAAAGGCAAACTGACCATGAATACCAAGTGCTCCATTACGCTAAGTCCATCCATGAACGCTTCATGCTGTGGGGCAATCTCCACGGCTCCGGGACATGCCTTGACATTTTGTCCATAAAGGGTTACTGAACCCTCTGACGGTAGCATACATTTCCCCGCTAAAGATACTAAAAATGTGGTTTTTCCGGCACCGCTGTAAAAGATAAAAGAAATTATACTATTGATTAATTGTTATACATTTCAATAATGCCCTTTCAAAAAAGAACCATACCAGTGAAGGTCCTGAAAGTAGATATGACATTGTCGTATAGGTTAAAATCGAAATATTTTATTTATATTGGTATACCTTATGAAATTACCTTTCGTAATTAATTTTCCTGGTTAGAACATTCCAGTAATACCTGTTACATAGCAACAAAACTATGTGGAACAATTGGAAAATGATCAAGTTTCGTTATCATCAGAATCTAAATTAAATGCAAATTCGTGCAACAATATCAGATTTTCAATAGATAAGCACTGATTATTGTTAGAAATGTTCAATTCAGGTTATATTCAAGTTCGAGGTAACATCTTTACTGGTGAACATTCCTAATTAATTATAGAACTAACAAGTTAATGTGGAGATATGGTATATCCATTCCAGTGGCAATTAAATTCGATGTTTTCGTTTATTTTATGATGTTTAATACTTTTCAAAACTTCCATAGTTTTCCGCTAGATGGCGATTTTATATAATATGTATTGTTTTATTTAGAGCCAGTATTGTTCACATTTTATTCTTCATGAGAAGATATAGACCTCCTTTAGGCCGCCACTGAGCTTATTATTCAGCTCTTAGCATCCAGCCACTGCCAGCTACCTTACGGATAATCGGATATAGTCATTCCAGCTGCTAACTGGAGTTCGTCGTACTTGTGATGCGTCTTACATTATGGTCTTATGATAAAAAAAAAATGAAGAAAGTAGTAGAATGTTCAATGATTTTATTTACCTTGGGCCAATGACAGCAGCAAATTCACTTCGTCTAATATTTCCTGTAACTAAAAAAAGCAGTTATTAAAAATTAAATATAATATTTTTTACTTATTAGTTCTTAATAATATTACATCTAATTAGTTTGTGATTACTAACAGAGGTCACATAACATCACGCCTTTTATCCCCGAAGGGGTAGGCAGAGGTGCATATTACGGCACTTAATGCCATGTAATGGGGGGTGAGCCTATGACCATATACCTTTACCTGAGATTTTTTTTAAAACCCAGTAATACTTTGCCCGTCCCAGGAATCGAACCCGACATCCCTTTTGCCGCACTTGCGACCACTCGGGCAACGAGGCAGTCTAAACAGAGGTCATTATTCCAAAAATCGCCAAAAGCAATACTTACTTTAAAATATTAAATATTAATTTTAATTTTTTTTTGATATCCCGATCATGTAACCATTTTTTAAAAAAAACAATGCTCTTAAAACCCTTAAACTCCTTAATTTTCAAATTTCGAAAAAAAATATTGATTTGGAACCTACGTAGGTATGTACATACGTGTGCATGTTAAAATATTTTACTAATTGTAAAATAAAATATACCAAACTCCTATACACCTTTAACTTTATTGTAAAGACATAAGATTGAAAATCTAAGCAGATTTTATAGACTGGTATAGTTTAATAAGCTGGCGTGTCATGGCGTCTGTAGGTAACAATATTAAATATGTACGTACCATTATTAAGTATAACATTTTGTGGTTTAGTAGGTTTTCGCCTCCACCACGACTTTTCTTCAGGCGTCCAAACTCTCAGGCCTTTGATTTTTATCACCACGTCATTTTCCATAGATTCTTTGTCGTGCTACAAATACAATGTATATACGATTAAACCAGGAAGATTAAAGAACAAAATACGATTACCTTTATTTAGTTAATTATAGGTATTTGTACTAGGTGTTTTGAATGTGTATTTTTTTTTCAAGGGGTATCATCGAATGACTGCTCCCGCCCGGGTGAGGCGGGAGGGCGTGTCAGACTCTTACTGACTAAAAACTACCCCGTTCCTACTCCTGCACGTCGAGCCGGAGCCCCGGTAACCCGTTAGATTCTCCGCGACTGAATGTGTCTAGATTCTTCTTAAGCTAGATTTCTAGCCACGCAGTAAAATCATTATATTCTATATGTGACTTATGGACCTATTTCGTGTTTCATGCGATAAGTTCTAGTATCTATAAGTGTTTGAAAAGATTTAATTTATACTTTAACTAGATTTCTAGCCATACTGCAAAATCACTGTGACCTTTAACTGCGTGTTTGATGCACTAAGTTCTAGTAAAAATATGAAGCATTTCTTGAGTGCTTGCCTCTAGTTTTATCATATCACCTTCATGTCGTTTCACCTCATTTAACATAAATAAAATAAATATAAAAACATTCTGAAACACATTCCTTTGTTTCACTAGATAAAGTTTTAATGATGTTTGTTTGTCCTTTATTACTCGACTGTGTAAGACGAAAAGTGTTATGACTTGTACAATCTTTGATTAAGTGTAAATAAGTGTTTTAGAGAAAACAACTTACTGTTTCCATAACGGTATACAAAAAGCTAGATTTTCATAATTTGCACAAAACTAAGACGTCACAAAATTAACTTAAACAGTTTTTATGAAACATTCAGATGCACAATAAACCACTACTTTTATAAACATTAAATTATAGATAACACTCAATGGTACTACGCACTTCCAAAAATGCGGAAAATTTCCAACGAAAGCAGACGAAAAATCACAAAAATTTCACTATAGCACACAAATACGTACGGAAATACACTAGAACCACGACACAAAATGCGAAATGCCAACCTACCGATCCCAATTCCATTTTGCAACACAGTAACACTAATTACTAATTAAATTAAAATACTATTTATTAAGAACATAGTAATAACGAATCAAGAAATGTTACAATAATTAACAAAGGACTGTGGTGAAATGAAATGGACGCCGCGACGGGAGCAAATAGACAAATCATTGTTCATACAAAAGATAAAAAAAGAATTATAGTGCATTATACTTCTGTGATTGTTTACTAAGATACATGCCCTCTAGCGACTCTCTTGCATATAGACACGCAGTATGAGCATATACAGTACTATGATATATCCAGTTTCGATAAAATAATTATTCTGTTTATGTTCCACGTCCTAATATTTTACATTTGCTGATGTAAATGCATTTGTCTTGTCGATCTTTTAGGTATGTAGCTAAGCTAGAGTTTGTCTGTTTGTTTAAACTTCGAAAATGTTTCTATCGATAGATACGTAAGGCTTTTGTGGCATGGTACAATACAATTTGGTTATTTGTGGTTTGAAACTGAAAACAGTGGTAAAATAGATAATTTTTGACATTGTAGAACTGTATATTTCACGAAAAGTGAAAGATAATTCAAAGCAAATAATAATAACCTTTTCATATTGATACACAAATTATGCTGGTTAAGTTTAAAGTAAGAAAAGCGCGCGCAGTCAGCGTAGGCAGCGCGCCATCTATCTTCTAGCTACTGAAACAAAACCATCATCTGAAACATTATTGTCAGTTAATCCTTGAAAGTATAGACTACGGGCAGTGATACGGGTTGCCGGGGCTCCGGCTCGAAGAGCAGAAGTAGAAACGGGGTGGTTTTTAGTCAGTAAGAGTCTGACACTCTCTCCCGCCTCACCGAGGCGGAAGAAGTCATGGGATGATGTTCCCCTCTCAAAAAAAAAAAGCTATGGACGGTGCTGTGATACTTATACTTACCTATAGGTCATACCAAAGTTAGACATTAATTAGTGCTACCAAATATAGATTAAAACTAAAATAATTGGTTGAGATATTAATCTAAACATCAGACTTCATGAAAGCTATAAATTTACCAATAAAATTGATAACCACGTCGTTATCTAAGCAGATAGATTGTAAACAGATATAGGTGACCTTTAACCAATAGGTACCTATTACATATTCATAAATAAACACGTCTATAGATCAAAAGATCTGTATCAGATTAATATCAGGCTATAAATTGATCACGAATTGATTTGGTATAACAACAAAAACAATATAAATCTGAGAATAACTTCACTCGTCTATCTTTTAGTTTTTTATGAGTATAAATTGCGGGGCTGATATTTCTCGGTGAATCTCGGTATTGAGATATATGGGGCCTTGTATCTTAGAACTTTGTCTTCATATAATATTCACTCTATGCTATGAAGTAAAATAATTACCTACCGCAGATCTCACGTTAACCATGCATACATTTTTCTTCAGTTTTCCATTCCTTATTTATTTATTTTTTTCAACTAAAGTATGGGAAACCCATGCTTCAGCACGAATGGGTCGGCTCGTCCGGAGAGATACTACGGCCTCACAGAAAACCGACGTGAAGCAACGCTTGCGTTGTGTTTCGTCGTGTGAGTGAGGTTACCGGAGGACCTTCCCCTACCCCAATCCCTGAATCCCTAACGATCCTCAAATTCTTAATACCCAGAAGTCCGGTAACGCACTTGTAACGCCTCTGGTGTTCCAGGTGTCCATGGGTGACGCCGATTGCTTACCATCAGGTGATCCGTCTGTTCGTTTACGGACTCATGCCGTAAAAAAATCTAGATTGAAGTCGGCTCTCTCGTAGGAACGTAAGTCGTAAGAAGTCAGATTTGTGTGGCTTGGAGGTCTTTGACTTGAGGCGGTTCACCCAAGATGATAATAAAATCAGAAAGTAATGAAAGTGATGAATGAATGTCTAGCAACATGAATGAATTGATAGCTAATCTTTAGAATATAAATTATAAAAATAAAACCTCTAAAGCCTGTTTCACAATATCTGGATAGCTGTTATGTACCAGATAAATTTGAATTAAGAACATAATTTGTATAAACTATCTGTCACATAAGTTTATCAGGTACTTATGTAGAAGTGGTGAAACCAGCGCTTAGTCTTATTAACTCAAGTGAATGGCTGGACCTATATTCTGATATATATTTTTATTTTCTATATGCTATTGTCAGATTTTATGAAAATGATGATTAAAATCAAAACATGACATCTGCACGGAACTGGGGAGAAAAACTAGTCATAAAACGTATTAGACCAAAAGTGTTTCTGAACATGTTGAAGTAAACTAATCTCTGGCTAAGCCAGCCAGATGGTACATATGAATAATACGTATAATTTAACATAATTCTTCAACAAACTGCCATTGCCACACGCGTCTCGTCTGGCTCTTATCTTAATAGTCGACGGCTGTTCACCTGACCCGAATATACAGAAAATAACGAAAGGTATAACTTTGACTTCATTTTTAACCAAAATTCGATGATGATACTCGTATTAATACAGCTTATTTATAGTTAGGTACAAATATACGTAAAGCTGCTCCTCTAGACAAATTACATTGTTTAAGAATAAATAAACAATATTACGAAAGTGAATAAAAAATTTGTCGTGATGGTCCGGAGGTTTAAGACGCCCGCTTCGAAACCTATCAACGGCAAGTACCAATGTGACTTTTTCCGAGTTATATGTACTTTCTAAGATTATTTAGACACCACTGACAAACGGTGCAGTTAAACATCGCGAAGAAACCTGATCTTATAATTTATAATTATAAGTTTGGAATCGCCAACCCACAATGAGCAAGCGTGGTGATTAATGCTCAAACCTTCTCCGTGTGAGAAGAGGCTTTGTTCAGCAGTGGGCATTATAGGCTGTTGATGATGATAAAAATGTTAATTGAAAATTGATCACTTTTTTGAGCCCATGCTCGAGCATGCTAAATCATGTTTCCATGTCAATGCTAAATCCTATACATTGGTAAAAGGCTATCTATTCCAATAGTAAATAGATCATTTGTAGTTACCTATTAATAGAAAAAATCATTAAACTTGATCCACCACTTAGGCGTATTTAAGCAAAAAACATACGTACAACAGCTTGTCATGAGTCGCCCAACCAAGGTACCTTTACTCACCTTCCTACAAAAAACCACACCTAAAACAGAGCAGGGTTCAAAAACCTTGAAGTAATGTTATAAAACAATTATTCACAAATGATTGATGGAACTAAAAAATGTTACGACACCATCACACACGCCATCGCCATGGTAATTATATGGTCGTCAAAAGTTCATGTTTCCATAACCCTTTCGAGTGATGTGCCTTCGGACATTACAGCTTTATTTGTAGGTTAAATATTGCCTTCGAAGTTTAAATGTTGCATCTCAAATCTGTTGGCTTTGTTGGTATACTGGTCACAATGATCTTGGGTTCGGTCTGTTATACATTGTATGCACTTTAAAAATGTGTGTGTGACCACCCAGAGTTTGCCTGCCATCCCGTGAGACAGCCAGTACTAATTCATAATCCGATCTAACCAGTCGTTTCTTCATCCAGTGACTCTCTCATTCAGTGGCATTGCCAGTGACGTTTAAATAACCAGTTAAAATATTAATTATTGATTTTAAACCATTTTAATTAAACTTAATTATCTGCAAGTTGGACCATTTTATACCGAACTACCCCAACACTATGGGCCGATGCCGATTATGGGCCGATGCCGATATGAGCCGATGCCGATTCGGAGTCGCAGAGAACCTAACGGGTAACCGGGGCTCCGGCTCGACGTGCAGGAGAAGGAACGGGGTGGTTTTTAGTCAGTAAGAGTCTGACACTCCCTCTCGCCTCACCCAGGTGGGAGCAGTCATTCGATGATTTTCCCTCCTTAAAAAAAAACCCCAACACTATAACAGGTCGAGTGTATTTTTGTGACTTTGAAGTTCGAGTCTAACAGTAGGTAATATGAGCGGAGTTTAAGCAAACCCACCACATATATCTGACCATTGCAAGTCCTGTAAACAAGGATTTAGTAGTGACCAATTATTAAAACATCAAAGTCAACGTCAAAGCATTTATTTTTATTAACTTTGAAATGTCAAAAATGTAATTGTCCGTCCGTCCATCGGTCAGTGAAGCTAGGCGCTCGTTCCAAAGTGTAGTTTCGAATGGAGAAAAACGAGCAAGAAACTCCATCGTTACTCTATCTCTTATCTCCATCGTTATCGAAATAATAAAGTTCCATGCATTTCAGGCAAATGAACTGTTATAAAAGTTCTCCCTTACCTCCTTTTTTTTAGTTTTAGTAGACCTAAGTAACTATTTGTTAAAAATAAGTCAAGCAATTGAATTTCTTATATTAGTTATATCTACACCAATCTACACGAACCCATTTACTATTGGGTAGGTAGGTATAAACATGAGATGTTAACTGACCAATAAACTTTTTTTAAGGAGAAAAATCATTAATCAATCGAATGACTTCTTCCACCTAGGTGAGGCGGGAGGTTGTGTCAGACTCTTAAACCACCTACGTTCCTACTCCTGCACTTCAAGCCGGAGCCCCGGCAACTCGTTAAGTCCTCCGCGGCTGACCAATAGACTACAAACATGTTTTGATATTCGTTTCGAGCTACATAACCCTAAAAGCGGTTTACTTTTTATGAAGCCGATCAAAGATTCGATTAGTCATTCTCTTGTCAAACCTTAAATAATGTTGTTGAGATTACAACATGTCTATATTATTGACGATGTACAATATATATATAGTCCATTTATGGTTATTAGAACTCATTCAACTGATTTATTTTATCTCTTAAACTGTGCTCCCATATAGCTATAGTTGTTACCTAACGCAAGTACTTTAATACTCCATGGTTAAATACAGAATAGTAAAATGTCTTAAATACAATAGAAACGTTGTCATACATAATACTTTATTGTTTTAATACGAATTAATTATGTTACAATATTCGATATGTCAACGATAATATTACTAATAAGTACAACATAAATACAGGCTTAACTTCCAAGTTAATTCTTATTTATGTTACGTTAATGAGATCATATTTTATACAAATTAAAGTTTATGTCTGTATGTGACATAAATGGTTGTGAAATGACAAATAGCATTGCTTAATTCGATCCATTTTTATTTGTATTCTTTTCTTTGTACTAATTTGCTAGTGCTAAACAATAATGTGCTAATTAAACATATTTTAAGAGGGTCTTTTCTTACTTATGGCGATAAATATTTGTTTGTTGGTTATAGATACATAACACTAGCGTTTAACCGTGAAGGAAATCAGTAATTTAAAAAAAATCTCAATCGTAGCACAGGGTCTGGAATTGTGCCCGGTATATGACAATAGGCTCACCCCTTATTACATGGGACTCATAACAAGAATAGTAAAAAGTGGGTGTCACATTGTTCAGTGGCATTAAGCGCCGTAATGTGCACCTCTACCTATAAAAGGCGTGATGTTATGTTATGTGGAGTGGATTCAGTAAAGTCTTGGACAAATTCGACCGGTTTTCTGAACCTCCTTATTAACAGTTAATTTTGTCATCTTCTTGTGTTTCGCACATTCGCTCTACAAGAACTAAAGCGTGTTAATAACTACTTAGAATTAACATAACTGTCTTACTTAACAGAATTAAGTACCTTCTAACAACTACATACACTAGTTTTACTATAAAAAATTGAACTTCTACTAAGCCTTTAGGTGTAAAGTCGATGTGATGTTATCTTACGAGTACATTACCTGACAAACCTGACATAGTGGGCCTCCCAGTTAAAGATATGTAAAAAAAACTATTGACTTACGCCTCCAACTCTACTTATCACGCTCGCATTAAGATAACTATGTATTTACTTAAGTAATGTTAATCTAATATGTCCCGAGGGCACAATCCGGACTGGTGTGAATAAATTGTCGCTCGTTTGAACTAGATGGAACGTTGTTGAAATGACAAACCTTTTTAAGATTATCCTATACCTTAGAGATTTTTTGTAAGGCCAACAATCATCGAGGTCGAGTGTCAGTGCCCTATTGGGCCCCATCCGTGGTGGTCTGATGGCTCTTTGTGGCGCGCGCGGATAGCGACGCGCTTTACGCTCGGATCTGGTTCTGGTCAGGCGACGAGCTACCCATGCTCGCCGTCCGCAGGCCCGCGCTTACTGTGGCCGGAGATCGTCCCGCGATCCCCGACGCCGGGAGTGTCGTTCGTGACGGCTGGGTTGTGAGAAGGCAGCGTTTCGCTGCCTCACGCACCCTGTTTCCTATAACCCTAGATATTGCAATTCAATTATATTCTGTAAAGAAGGTACTATTACTTCTTTGCCCTCGTTGCTAGGATTATCTTTTTATAGTCAGTTAGATTATTATGTAGGTAGGTATTAGAGTACAGTGTGACACTCAAACAGGTGGTCTTATTTATCTGTTTACAATATACTACTTATTTTTACATGCTTTATTTCAAAATGGATAATGGGCGGGACATGTAGCCCGCAAACACAACTCGTGGTACAAGGATCTGCTGGAGTCGAGACCGTGGGAACATAAACGACCTGTTGGTAGACCGCAGATGAGATGGAAAGATGACATCAAGGAGGTGGCGGAACAAAATTGGATACTAACAGCCCAAAATAGAACTAAGTGGAAAGATTTGAAGGAGGCCTGCACCAAAGGGTGGTGGTGGGCCAAATTGGTTGCAAAAGGATTCAGATGATGATATGATATTTCCCCTAAACTTATTATACTCTTTGGATGATATTTCAAAATAATAACAAATGTCAATAGCCGCACCCCATGCTTATTACATCTATATACATATATAAAAAAGAAAGTCGTGTTAGTTACACTATTTATAACTCAAGAATGGCTAAACCGATTTGGATAAAAATTGGTGGGGAGGTAGCTTAGAACCAGGAGACGGACATTAGAACCGGATACTTTTTACCCAATTCTTTTATTTTACTTTTTACCGAAAATCAAGAACGGGAACGGGAAATATCGGGATTGCGCGTACGAAGTCGCGGGCAGAAGCTAGTAGGACATAATTAACATAGCTCCTGAAAAGTTGGTATTCTATTCTATAAGTCTATTTAGACTTACCTCTTGGAGTATCTATTAAAAGGTGTGACATTATGTTACGTTAAAAATGATTACCCACACACACGAAGCACTTCGCATCAAGTTTCCTTGTGCGTACTGCTAAGGAGTGGAATTCTTTGTCAGAGTCTGTGTTTCCTGAATGATATAACCTGTGTGTCTTCAAGGCCCGAGTGAATAGGTTGCTTATGGGACGACGTGCTCCATCGTAGACCGCATCATCGCTTACCACCAGGCGAGATAGTGGTCAAACGTCAGCCCATCAAGAAAAATTAATCGATTACCTAAATCCATGTTAAAATACTTTTCCATACCAAAATATACAACCACGCAGATTCCACTTACATTACCATTTAAATAAATAAAACAACACGAACTCCATCACTAAACATTTTATTTTACAGTAACAACTCTCACACTTTCATACAATAAGTAGATAATACTTATTACAATAACCATAGTGCAGGCACGAACAAGAATACATCACAGTTTAAAATATTCACATAGAAATAGAATTCTTCTCAAACAATAGTCAAAATGTCAATATTTTATTAAATATCATAATATTTTAAACTGTTAATTTCTTAGCCGTACCTCCACGTTTCTTGATAAACCATAATATTTATGACTTCAGCCAAATGGCACGAGTGACTCTATAGATATAGCTTTCTTAGTCAAAATACAGACTTAATAAAATAAATTCGATCATAGGCATTTGATCAACCTCGTAAAAACGAGAAATGGCGGCCTATCCAAAAAATAAAAACTAAATGTTAAAATATACAGGATCAGGTTGTAAAAAAGCTTAAAAGGAAGACAAATCCTAATAGGATTGAACGGAAACATAAAGATTAGTTCTTAATGAAAAGAAAAAAATAAAGGAAAATTGGCGGCAAAGTCTAGTCGAGTCAAATAACAGATTATATTGCATTTGAGATTATAACTTAAAAAAATCGAATTCTCATAATTCCTAAATTATTTTTTAATAACGTCAATCAAACAAAAAGTGCATATTTTATTAAAAATAGAGAGTTTAAAATTTAGAATGCAACGTGATTGGTCCTCAGGTAGGGGAGCGTTTGTGTGACGCGTTGTGATTGGCCATTTTACGAATGGCGGTCGGTGATAGGTCAGCACGAGCAGGACTTGGAGCCTCCATCCCGACTGTTCTCGCCGTTTGCAATCTTGTGGTCAAGCGCGAATTTGTCACCATCTCTGTTGTCGTTGCTCTGGAGTAGTTTGTCGTTTAATAGAATCTGAAAGAAAGAAGATATGACTTTAGTGAATTAATTGATAAAGTCTGCTAATAAAGGTTTAAATAAGACTTCGCAAAGTGCAGTTCAGGAAGAATGGTAACGGTCCTCACATTAGGGGTAGTGACCAGCTTCACAAACTTGCCCCTGATGTAAGAACCACTACCACTCTCGTCTTTTCTCTTTTGTGGTTCTTTTGCTAAACAAGAAACCTAGAATCGACTCAATTTTGGTTAAATATGTGTTCTAAATTGAGCAACAGCCAGTCTCTGAAACTCTCTCCAGAAGTTGATCTCTGCAGAAGTTATTTAAGCCTACATAATAATGGCTTACAATAAGATTAAGACCGTAGTTTTTACTCGTGAAAAATTGAGCTGCAAAAAAATTAATCTCAACGAGTGTGTATTTAGAGGTATAGATCCAGTACTTCGAATATCTACGTATAAAAAACAAACATGTCAACATCAAAACCTTCATTATAATTTCTAAACTACGTGTAATTAACGCTAATTTCAATCAACCATATTTTAATCCAAGGTTGCGAATCACGTAATTTTTTTACTAGACCTATCTGTTCATTCAACCTCTGCAAAACACATTCCATATCGTTAATGAAGTTTTTATTATTACAACAAACATGTTTTTGGACGAAACACATGCATAATTCAATAGTTTAATCCCCAGTTTAAAATATTTGATCACCATTTTTGACTAGCCTAGAAATAGTATTGCACAATCTTAAATAATCAGTTGTTTGGTTAGAAACAGTTGATTTCCGTCAGCAGGCTTTTTATGGAAGTCTACCAATGTGGCCGTTAATTTTTTTATTTTTATACATATTTAAAACTTTATGATCTCTGAAAATATGTGTCGATCGAAAGTAGATTTTAGTGTCAACAATCCTTCCATTCAATAAGTTTACAATGAAATGGTTTGGAATATTATAAGATTTATTTTATATTTTTATTATAAATATCAATTCAGTTATAGGTAATAATGATTCATAGATTAATTAACTTAATTGACTTGCGTTGGAGATGCAAGAGGAGAATCTCGACATGAAACCGAACCAAAAGATCAATAAAAATTGATAAAACAATTTAAACCTTTGAAAACGAATACAAATAATTACGTAGACAAGACAATAGCTAACTGACTTGCCATATATGATATTATCCAAGCCCATATTTCAATTAAACCAAAGGGCAACTAAAGCACAAAGCATACTATCCATCAAAAGCCTCCAAATTGGGTTTACAATTTGTCATCGCGTACAGAAGTCATTAAAAAATAAACAGACATTTATAATGGTCGCCGCTGACATAAATTTTCCCGCCTACCATGGACTATAGTAAAAAACGATCGCGTTTGACGTAGGTACCAAGGCAAGGTATTGCTCAACATTTTTAAATAAGAAAAAATCTAACCGGAGTAGATAATAGGAATAGAATTATGCAAAGAGCAACGGTTTCTATAAGGTCATTTATGTAAGTAATCTTTTATGAATTAACTCGTTGAGTATCGTCATTATAGACACAATTAAAGAACAATAGGTTGCGGTCACCGGTGACCGCTCGGTGTTTGACAGTTTAAGTAATTTCTTAATAATGCGAAGTTACATTTCATAATTATGATTTAGGTAGAGTACTACTTCAATATTTGATAAAAAAATTGCTCGATAATTAATTTGGTCATCCAGAATTGAATGTAAGTTACATATATTCTCTTTTCCATTTCTAGTATATTAATAAATAATTCATAGCTATATGAGTCTATACGAACATGGATATTAAATGTGATACGCTCATCTGAGTGCAATACGTACACGTGCCTTAGAATTCCCACGAAATAAAGTCACGACGTATCAAAATACTATTGCACAATATTATAAAAAAACAACTTCCAAACAAGATGCTTTGCCGCCGAAACTTTCCGTTAGGTTGGTATGCGAGTATAACCATAAACTTTAAACTAATGTTTTTAATAAACTGGTTTTGACAGAACGTACTCGTATGTAGTTTATGAATTTTATTTATTTGTGTAGGCAACTAATGCGTTATTAATTATTGTGACGGCCGATTTAATTTTTTTAAATTGCTTTGTGAAATATGGAAGTTATTTGTTTAGAATTGAATATTGATTGGTAGCGATATTGAATAATTTAAAAATGCAGTTCATATTTTCGATTGACAATAAATTAAAAATGATTACTTATGCCACCGCAGAGATTTAACTTGAAGCTTTAATTATTTTGTGTGATAAGCCGGTAAACGAACCTACGGATCACCTGATGGAGATTCGGAACACCAGAGGCGTTACAAGTGTGTTACCGGCCTTTTGGGGATACAATGATTGGGGAGATTGGGTAGGGGGAATTTGGGCCTCCGGTAACCTCACTTACAAGACGAACCAACACGCAAGCTTTGTTTTACGTTAAAATTGCAATAAGTTCGGCAATGTAAATGAAATTTATTGTTTTTAACAGCAATATCTTTAGGGATACCTCAAGGATCTATCATAGGACCGCTCCACAAATTATCTGTTGTTTTTACATGTTACATCAAACTAAACAGTTTTATTATCTATCTGGTTTGTAGTTTGTGCCTTCTCCCATGGAAGAAAGGTGTGAAAAGCCCTGCACTACGACAGAAAATCAAATAATAAAGAAAATTTGCCTAACATAAATAAATAATATGTCATTACCCAGTAGGAGATATCCTAAGTTCAGTAGCTAAGGTCTTGCTAATTGCAGCACATCATATCATCTATAATAATAATAATATGTGTCTCAGTGTTGTTATTTCTTTTCCTGCCACAGGCCCACAGGAAGAAATTCCAGTTGGAATATGTGGGGCCTGTGTACTCTGTTTTTTTAATATGTATTGTCCTCTGTGTTGAATGTGTGTACATAAATAAATAAATAAATAAACATTTAGTTCCAAAACTCTTACCTTATTTACTAATGACCTGGCTGCCTCTTCAATATTGATATTTTCTTTGGCCGACGTTTCAAACCAACCGGCGAATCCTTTCTCGCGACAGTACTCCTCCATCTTGGCTTGAGAGTTTACTATGCCTTCCTTTTGTTGGTCGCACTGGGGAAGTAAAATAAACATTAGTCTTTAGTTTCGAGTTCTTTGTTGTTATATAATTTGCAAACATTAAAATATCCAATCCAAAATTTTAGTCAATTATTAAGATTACCACTCCTCTTTTACTGAGTCTGTTGATTGCAAAAATAAAAATGTTATACATAGTTGCGTTGAGAATGATTTTGCAATTTATGTTGCGCAGGTACCAAGTGGAATATAAGCATTTATTTTGGGACAATAGGATAAAATTAAATCCAATCATCTATTAATAATAGTAAACAAAATACTATCTGATCTTCTGAATTGTAACCACTGATTGATTAATTTGGAACGACCGTTAGTTGATAGACCATCTACCTATCTATCTATTTCACACCTTCAATTCAATAAACCTAACTTAAATTTTATCTTACCTTATTCGCCAACAATATGCAAGGTATGGGTGATCCGTCAGGCAGTTGAACTTTGGCATCCAGGTCGTTCTTCCATTTGACCACGGCGTCGAAGGTCGCAACCCTGGACACGTCGAATACTATGAACGCGCCCACAGCCTCCTTGTAGTACACACGGGTCATGTTGCCAAAACGCTCTTGACCTGATGAAAGAAAAAAAGGTTGTAATTAATTGTGTCTCCACATACTTAACTTAAACTGAGTAATCTGTAACATAGGTTGTACCTTTAACACATTGGATGCTGTGTCGGACAATGATGTCCGACGCTACCGGAGGATTGGCCTTTAACAGTTTTTTAAATCTTCAAATTGGAGTACCAAAATGTTGTCGTTGTAATTGATACGTATATAAAACGTATCATTACACATTTTGTAGATCCAAAATGAGTACGACCCATATATCCCCAAGCGGTCACCGGTGACCGCTCTCCACTTACTACATTATTATACCTTATTTCCAATGTTTAAAGACTACTTTTGTATGAACGAATTTAGAGGATGGTTTTCAAAGGGTTAAAAGAAGATTTATAAGCAATAGTGGGTGATTCTATAATAGTGACCTGATGTTATGGTTCTTCATGATATCTGTTTCACGACTGGCTTGGTTTCTACCATATTTTCTAAAGGCTTCACTACGAACCAACTACTAAATCTAAAAGTTATATCGGTACATATATATAACTAAGCAACAATAAATATTAGAGCCATGTAAAGAAAACCCATGATCATCATGACCATGGTGAACGCAATGTTAAAATCATGACATTCCTCATCCATTTTTACACAAATATAACTCTCGTTTGCACAATAACGATAATGCGAAATGACATTTGTTTCGACAGTTGAAGATAAGCAGGGCCGTCACACTTAGAGCCATTGACAGCTTAAAAAATCGGACCATCATCTACATCTAGTTTTCGAACCTGAAATTAAATGTTGTCAAAACTAATATTTTCAGTGGCCACACAGTTCCAAGCAAGGTTGCAACATTATTTAAAAATTTAGGCTTATAATAATATTTTTTGGAAATAGTAAAATAACATTATACACATTTATTTAATACTATATTGCAATTTTTACAAAATAATTCCTTAAACTTAGATCAAATGACAGTTATGCTGGCATAATCGATCAAAGATGACAGCCTCTTTACTAATAATAGAGATTAAAAAGATATTAAGTGATGGATGACAAACTAAACTCTATGAAGTGACTGCGTCAGGTTTCTGCATCCAAAAGCATTAAACTAAGAGCCTGTGAACCTCAGGTCTAGGCCACCGTTTTTATTATATGAAAACTAATATTATATGAAAATACTCAATTTTCATAGAAAATCTATAAAATAGGTTGCACGCATTCTTTCTGTCTCTCTATCACACACACACACACACACACACACATTCACACACATACTTAATCTTTCTCGATAAATGCACTAACTCTATTTCGTTCAGTCATCATCTCTGATTTACAATTTGACAGCACCATCATTTTCACCACCCTCGAGAACCATGAAAACGACACCTATAACGATAAATTGAAAATATCGTGCAGCCGCCATCTTGGATTTGCATTTTGACAGCACCATCTTTGTTACCACCCTCGAAAACCATGAAGACGATACTCATGACAATAAATTCAAAATTTTGTGCAGACGCCATCTTGGATTTACATTTTGACAACACCATCGGCTTTATCACCCTCGAAAACAATGAAAACGACACCCATGACGATAAATTGAAAATTTCGTACAGCCGCCATCTTGGATTTGCATTTTGACAGCACCATCGGCTTTATCACCCTCGAAAACCATGAGAACGACACCCATGACGATACATTCAAAATTTTGTGCAGACGCCATCTTGGATTTACATTTTGACAACACCATCGGTTTTATCACCCTCGAAAACCATGAGAACGACACCCATGACGATATATTCAAAATTTTGTGCAGACGCCATCTTGGATTTACATTTTGACAACACCATCGGTTTTATCACCCTCGAAAACCATGAAAAGGACACCGATGACGATAAATTGAAAAATTTTGTGCGCACGCCATCTTGGATTTACAATTTGACAGGACCATCGGCTTTATCACCCTCGAAAACCATGAAAACGACACCCATGACGATAAATTCAAAATTTTGTGCAGACGTCAGCCCTGTTCATTTCCATTTGCTGATTTACTTTATCCAAGTTTTCGAAGATACTATTCAATAGCTAGTCATTAACTGATTAATTACTAGTCATTACGAATAATATCAAATTAATCACTTTGGCTGTAACATATTATGTATATACATTTAGGTCAAACTGATACTCCTTTTTTAAAGTCGGTTAAAAAAGAATCATCAAAATACGTTAAAAAACGACGAAGTCATCCCTGAAGGAACATAAAAAAACCTTATAGGTATATAACTTTTCCTTTTTTTTAAGTCCGTTATAAATAACAAAGGTCTGGGGTTCATAGGCTCTTGTACTATATGGATTGTCAAATTATTATTTTTTACGGCAACGCTGGGGCTAAAAAAATATTAAAACATTACAATAATAATTTTCCAAATTATTTAGATAATAAATAACTATTAAAATAATATTGTTAATAATTAGATATTGATATTAAATACTTTTATATTATCTCCTTATTTCTATAAAATAGTATGCATGTAGTTTGTACTATTTTAATACTGGCATATAATATGTATACTTTTTGCTTGATAAAGAAAAGAAACAAAAACAAAAATTTGAAATGTCAAAATTGTAAAAATTTTTGCCAAAAATATTTTAAATTATTTAATATTTGTGATGGGATTTTGTGATTGTTTTTCTAAAAAAGGAAGTTCTGCGATGCGTGTTGTGTTTTCTATAAAGGACCTTTTGTATACATGTGTATCACAAATCACAAAAGTACATTGTGTTTGTTTGTCTATTCATTGGACTTGATTTTACAAAGGAACGCTTTAATTTGCGTATATATCTTATTTATAATAAAGAACATCAATACGAAGAATACAATCATGTTGCTGAAGGTAAAACCTACAACAAGTTTATGATTTTTGCTATTGAACCTATTTATACATTTTATTTGATTCATTGAGATACCAAACTATGTAGTTTTTATAAATTTCTACTTTTTCTTTTGTATATTTGTTACAGTGATATTTGGAATTACTATTGCATCGATATTACTTCAGCATCATCATTGCAGAATATCAATAGTGCAATTTTTTATCGGCAGTTACGAGTCTTACGATGTCCGGATAAAGTGCCGATCTATACCAGCAGTGCTTGAAACCTATTTTAGAGATGGTAAATACTATATTATTCTTGTAACATCAGTAATATCACGTAAGGTACACCTACCTTAGATAAATAAAAGAAAACAAATAAATAAAATACATATTTCGCATGTAAAAATAATCTTTGTTTTTTTTTCAGGTACTATTTGGAATTATTCTAACATTCAGACGTATATTGTTGTCTCAAGAAACAAGAAACCCATAGATCGCTGCAAATATTAAAGCCGTATTATTTTTGTAAAACTATTTTTATCTTTGTATTAATGTATATATCATAATTAGAACAACATTTTAAGTACCTACGCACAACAAAGTAATATTAAATTATAAATAGGTAACACCTTAAAAAAAATGTTACCTTAGGGCATCAAAAAATTCTTTTTCATCGATATCGTGGAGTAGGGTGCCCAAAAGACTGGCAGCATTATTCTAGGTTTTACTTATTTGTATTCATATATGTAGAGGTCTCTCCTTCTTGGGCTTGACCTGGTGAAAATGGGCACCGCTTCCCGCAACCCGCAGGAAAAACGATGCTCATAGCCCCTTCTAAATTTGACTTATAAATCTCCTTCTTTCTCTTATGCTGACTACTTGACTACTAACTGGGTGTAGTTTGTGTGCCAGATGTGGATTGTGAGCTTCATGTGATGGTTGACTGAGTGGTATGTGGTGTTTGCGCTTGAGATGGTTGTAATTGATCGGAATCTGGAATGTATGTGACGAAAACTGTGTCTCCTAGTACTTTGCTAAGAATGATTATTGTGTGAATGGTGGCTAATGTCTATTTCTGTTTCTAGTTTGTCTGTGTATCTGCTGAGGCTTTTGGCTAGTACCTACTCCTGTGGCTCCAATTACTATAGAATTAACATGCGTTTCAATATTTCAAGCCTTGAGTTGTGTCTTTAAAAAGTGGTATTTACTGAATTTCTTTTGCTCTTATGTTGTAGTTACATGGTACAGTTATGTCAAAGAGGTGTTGGATGTTTTGTTTGTGTATATTATGTCTGGTCTGTTGTGGGCAACTGTGAAGTCTGTCTGAATTGGGATTTCCCACATTATTTTGCCTGTTTCATTTTCATTTGTATTTATAATAATAATATTACTTTGTTTCATTATAATGTTATAAAAATATTATATTTGAGGATAGGAAAAATCTGTAGTTGTTTAGTAAAAATGACTGTAATATAACTAGATATAGGAAACGACTAAGTCAGGCATTATTAGCAACTAGCAAAAAAAAGTACTAAAAAACTGAGACTGACTGAGAGGTAGACTGAGACTTATTTTTAAGCACTATATTTTTCGACATTATAATAATAAGTGCGACTGCCGGGCAAGGGGTCTCGGGTTCGATACCCGGGTCGGGCAAAGTATTACTGGGTTTAAAAAAAATCTCAGTAGTAGTAGAGTAGTCTGGAAATGTGCCCGGTATATGGCAATAGGCTTACCCCCTATTACATGGGACTTATAACATAAATAGTGAAAAGTAGGTGTTACATTGTACAGTGGCATTGAGTGCCGAAATGTGCACCTCTGCCTATCCCTTCGGGGATAAAAAGGCGTGATGTTATGCATGTTATGTTATGTAAATTGTATAATAATTTTGTGTTTTTGTAAATACTGTAAGCGATTCAAATCGATAGTAAAATGTACTACATTTGTGTAGGTATTACGGGTAATTTATATCATTAGATTGTTAACTACTGTTAGGTACTGAGTAAACTACGGTGAACAGTAAATATTTTTAATTTTAGTTCTTTGTGGGATCAATAATTAAAAAAATAACTAATTCAAATAAATTTTGAACGACATATTTATATCTGAAATTTGTAAACATAAAATTAAAAAGAACTAAAATTTGAATTATACTTTGAACAAATCTGTCGTCTGATATTTCCCTACTAGCTGATAATTTTTAAATGTTAATTTGTATTTACTGTAAAATAAATGTAATATTGTAATTAATAACTTCTTTGATTTTGCAGCTACCAGACATAGCTAATTCCAATACTACCTTCAATGTACCAACCTGCAAGGTGCATTGTTGGTAGTATTGGCATTAGATATACTTAGGATTATCTGTACCACATTAGTAAAAAAAAAATTTACTAGGATTCAATTTTCAGATGGCGTTTCAAATTGATTGGCATAAATTTTGACGAGTGGTAACTCTTTACCCCTATACTTATTATACTCTTTGCTATACTTATTATACTCTTTGAAGATAAGAGACAAACGCGTAGTTTTCATAGAGGTGATAAGGAGGTTTAAAGTTAATTTTTGTTTTTCTCCCGGCAACCGTTTAACTGAGCGGTTGATGACCTCAAGAATGTACGGAATGTACTTAGAACATTTAATTTTATTATTTTACTTGAGGAATCTAAACTTTTGTAGTTTATAGTCAAGGACGATAAAAAAGACGGACACAGTCTCATGAAACAACGACTGTGGCGCCTGGCTACTATAGACTTACACGCAAAACATTAAACACATTGACACGAAGGACATCTGTCGCGTGACATGGCCCGTTATTACACTTCATATATTGCGGTGTTGCAAGTACACGCACACATAAATACACCACTGACATTTTGGTGCTTCAATCATTTCTACGTGGCATTATGTCCGCTTTTCTAAGTGGCATTATGCCTCCCTACTTCCCTAGGTATATGCCAATGCATATACCGGTTACAATTCTATACTCCGTGCTACTACTGAGAATTTTTAAAAACCCAGTAATACTTTGCCCGACCCGGGAATCGGACCCGAGACCCCTTGTTCAGCAGTCGCACTTGCGATCGCTCGGCCAACCATGCAGTCTTGTCAGTGAGTCAAGTCCATCTGTGAGTGTTAAAAAGTACCAGTATGAAAAGTTTTAATATCAATACTTAAACAACATTACCAGTTTAGACATAACATTACATCACGCCTTTTTATCCCCGAAAAGATAGACAGAGGTGCACATTTCGGCACTTAATGCCACTGTACAAAGTAACACCCACTTTTCAATATTTTTGTTATCAGTCCCATGTAATAGGGGGTGAGCCTATTGCTATATACCGGACACATTTCGTACCAGACTCCGTGCTACTACTGAGGATTTTTAAAAACCCAGTAATACTTTGCCCGACCCGAGAATCGAACTCAGGACCCCTTGTCCGGCAGCCGCACTTGCGACCACTCGGCCAACGAGGCAGTCCAGTATAGAATTCTAGAAAATTCTATCTATAATTCTCTAGGAAACACTTAAATACTTTCTCTAGTTTACTATAGTTTTCCTTAATAATAGATTGATTGATATCAGCTAGAATAAACTGTTATACGATGATATAATATCTTAACATACACATAACAAAATATACTTGATAAAAATTATGTACCAGATAGTCCTTATCAAAACAATTCATGTTTTTGATAGTGACATTCTTTAGTTCTATCTGTGCGTAAAAGGAAAAGGCCAAAATTTATTATACGTCTTTGTTGGTCTATCTTTTTGTCAACAGGAGATTGCAGATCATCTATCCTTACTAATATTATAAATAGAAAAGAGAGTGAGTTTGTTTGTTTGTTCCGCTTTCACGCCATAATTACTAAACTGATTGCTTTGAATTTTTGAACACGTAAAGTTAGAAGTAATAAATAATAGAGTACTTTTTATCACGGAAAAATTTGATATTCCCGAGGGAAAACAAAAGTATTGGTATAGATGGCGCTGTATGTATTGGTATATGTCATATAGGCTATCTATCTACGTTTTATCATTTTGTGACGCGAGCAAAGCCGCGGGTAAAAGCTTGTAAGGAAATAACTCAAAAGTAAAATACTATTTATTTCATGGTTTTTGGTCTCGACAAGATATTTTACTCATCATATTTTAGATTGCCCATCGTACTCGTACGATATTCCCAAAAAACTGTTTTACATCAATTAAAATTGAATAATTTCCGTAAAAAGTTTTACTATCTTCGGACATTTTCCCTTCAAAAATATAAATACCTACTGAATATCTGAACATCAGTATGTAGCTAAGTGTAGTAGGTACTACGAACCTCCTTAGAATGCTCAATTGAGCTCTCCAAGGTCTATCAGATAATGGGAGGAAGCTACAAAACGAGAAGGGCATAGTCCCATCGTATTATTGACGAATGGGAACTATGCCTACCAATAGAGGTAATAGACTGTCATCATAGAGGGTACGTTGTGCTAATGTATATTTTATTATGACCCAAGAACTTTTTAGCTACTGCATAGCATGCTTTGAAGATATGTCTAGAAAATTTATCGAAGTATTAGAATCTATTTTAAAGTATATGTTTATGTCGTTTAACATAATTAAAAGTGCACCATTGTTCAAATTGAGTCATTCAGTTCAGATATAAACATGTATAGCTTAGATAAGTAGGTCCAACGACCTAGCTGTGCTGTGGCACTTATTCTAGTCAAACTTGCATCTATCATAGTGAACGCATCCTAAAATCAGCACGACAGCACATTCATAGACCTACAGTGACCAAATTGAATAAAAAAGAATTGATAAGTGAATATTGTAAAAAATAAAGTGATTGGGTGACGATGGTAATTGACATTATTGATAGTTCATGATAAAGTATCAATTGAAATAGGTTCATTTCAATTAAAAAATATACCATATTCGCTTAGCTTAACATAGTATATTTTATGCACTATATAACAAAATTAAAAAAGTTTAAGTATTGGTTAAAGTAATATTTCTGAACCCCTCACCTGCAATATCCCATAATTGCAAACGGATGATAGTGTTCGCATCCCAGTTGAGAACTTTCAGTGCAAAGTCCACGCCAATGGTGGCTCTGTAGTGTTGGCTAAAGAACTGGTGCACATATCGCTTGATGATGGACGTCTTCCCGGTACCCAGCTCTCCGATCACCAGGATCTTGTATAGGTGCTCCCTACGCTCTGCGCTGGGTGACGCGTGTGACTGGAACAGACAAAGGGATAATGTTAGATTTGAGCTAGAAAATTGACATCAGTTCCCAAAAACAACTGTTCTGAGATTAACCAATCAGCTGCGGATATTGTCCCCAGTGATGTTTGTTCAGTTCAAATTGTATTTTTTAACTTAAATTCTATGTGTAAAATTTTCTGCAATCATTCATTATTACGATGTAGGTGATTAAACTCTGAAGTTAGTAACTATCAATGGTTACTTATTAAACCTACGACTTCATGTACCCATGCGTGCGTGCGTGCTCCATGCTTATTTAAAACACTGAGAAATTTACGTAAGGTGTATTATTTTACAAGGCACTTTGTATCCATTCGTAAAAGAACAGAAGATCTTTGTTTAAGGGATATCAAAAGAAATATAAACTCTTTAAACGATATAATGCAACTTCTCAAACTTCTTCAACTTAATACATGTAGACGTATATGGCTAGTTATAATGTCCTGACTTCGTTGTTCCAATTAAGAAGCGCTCATCAATGCAATTGATGATCAATCGACTAATTGATTATTACTGGTATATGGTGCATCTATCTGACATCAATTCTTGCGCATTTAAGTGCAACTCTGAAGTAGTTAATTACTAATATAGACTTTGAAATCCTCAATAAAAAATAGTTTCTTAGCCTCTTTTAATTAAATATTCTTTCGACAATTTTTGATCAGTTTTTGTGATGCAATATTAAAATATTAATTGCAATATTGATAAGCCAAAAATGTAGACATAGATATAAATGTTAAATATGGTAATGATAGTCGTTAGGTATACTTAGTAGCTGATGATTCAAACAATCATTTGATTGGTTCTAAAAGGAGAACGATTATTTTTATCTCCTATAGAATACATTAAAACTCGAAACAATGATATTATACCCAATAGATTTAAGAGCATTCGGCTATTAACGGCACTTTATGCTATTTAAATTAAGTATACCTTCTGAGAATTCATTTTTATGGGCATAGATAAATGTCATCGCGCGTCCAATTAGTGCAATGTCTTAGGAGTTGATCGTAGGTCAAGATATTATTAGTTATATAGGTATTTTATAATAATATATAACTAGTTTAGATTTAAGTACAATCGACCAAGTTGGCGGTTGACCATCATTCATCATCAATCAACGCTGGTGAGCACAGGGAAAAACAGGCCAGTGCGGTGGATAGCGAGTTTGCCTCAGAATTTTGTTTATAAAGTGTACTCCCAATACCCGGTTTTTGGTAACTTACTGGTGTTTTAGGTAAAAGTTAGGTAACTTCTACATTAAATGACGTTAATTTTCTTCGTTTTTAGTCTATCGTAAGTAATTAACTTACGACAGCCGACTATAATAATATCGACATAATTGGAATGATAGTTACCTTTTTCTTTTTAACATTAAACATTTACCTTTATAGTAATCATCAAGTCGGAAGTCATCCATCAACAGGAAAATGAGCAGACAGTAATCACACAATTCTTTGAATTTTATCATCAGACTGTTTACTTACTTGAATAAATATATATAAATGTTTATAAGTGACGTCAGTCTTGCAATAAGATAACGGCGTGGATGCACCCTTCGCCGTCATTTCTAACTGATAAAGGAGAAACGTCGAGAGTATACAAGTTGACTGAGATATATTTTTGTATACACAGGTTTATGTAAAACTACATACATTCAATATTTGTGTAGAAGAAATAATTTACAAAAAGCTAATACAGTAAAAGACTTCACTTAAATTCAGCAAATAACCACCAAGGTTACAACCAAGTCTCCGATATTCTACACTTCACAAGGTAAGTAGCAAGCTGGAAGAGATGCTTAGGACGGCACAAAAAGACAATTTCAGATCATAACTACAATGCAAGTCCACGAGAGAGCAGGCAATTTACCTAACGTTGGTTGTTGGTTTGAAACAAATGAAAGGAAAAGACATAATTCAGCATCTATTTTTTACATAATTTAGCATCTATTTAGCTTACTAACTTACCAAATGCTAGAATAGAATCATATGATATAGATATTTTGACTACTGACCTAATGGCCAGAATAGACCAAAATATCAACTGCATATTAGTGCTTATTCTCAAATCATTATTAGTTTATTTTACGATCCTCGATTTTCGATCGATTTGGCTTTTCGGTCGAATACGTTCTATCAATCCCGTTTTACAAACACATTCATTAGGTTAGGTAGTTACCAAAACAAAGACAACAAATAAAACATTACGCAACTTAAAACTGGCTTTACAAGGCAGTACCTAACACGGATATATTTTATTGGATTAGGTTATTTTGTAAATAAATGACTATGTCTTTTAAAGTAGGTATTACATAACATTTTATATACTTACTCAAATACCTATTAGGTAGTATCAATCATGTTCTATTTGTAGAAACAACATCGTAAACATGGGTATTCTTGTGAATATGAAAGGAGCAATTAATTATGGGTTGAATAAAAAAGGTTTTTCAGATGTATCTAATGTATTGGTATCCGGTTACTGGTTATTTAAATTTTCTCACCTAGATTTGAGTACCTATTAATTTTTATTTGTTAAGTACCTACTTTAAAATTATAGGTACACGAAATGATTGTTACATATCCGTGTTCTTAACACATTATTCAAAATCTTGCATTCATACATAACTCGCAACGCTGTATATTTCAGTAGATAATTAAAGTTACGCTTTCAGTTATTGCAAGGTATCTGAACTGATCAACTGAACTATGTATTTATTATGCCTAAACTATGTATTTATTATACGGTTTGTTATCCAAGGTGCATGGCTAAATATTGACTTATTACTATCTACTGTATATTTATTATTTAATCTGTTACCTGAGGTGCAGGGCTAAATATTGACTCCTTGGAAAACAACCAAGTTCATGATCAAATCCTTTACGTACGTAATGTGATCGTGGTTGAGTATTTTCATTATGATTTCAAACCTAAAGAGAAGGTAAAAAGGTCGATTAAGCTGTAGTGTAAGCTTTAATAGGACTTTAAATAGGCAGCCACTTAAAATAAACTGTGGCGACGCATGCCACATGTCAACGGATGACGTCACAAGAATCCTACATCGCACATGCAAAGTTTACAAGCGAATAAACACCGATAGAAAATCCCAACGAACAACTGTTGGGCAGAAAGCCCGCCAGGCACGATCACCTCGCCTGGAGGATCCTCCTTTTCCGATCTTAGGGAACTATACTCTCTGTTCCCTAAAAAACGATTGAGATCTTAGTATCATTAAGTAATAGGAGTATAGGACTAATAATTACATAATCGGAATATCTATATTGAGTAACAAGCCAGCTGTTGACTGAAGTACGTTACATTGTTGCGCAAAACAATTATCTAGGTCTTAGTATATTGCTAGCTTTTGTCCTAAGATAATAAGGAGACTCCGTTGCCAGTGGTGATGTGAGTACATACATTTCACGTCAGTTTTCAGGCCAGGCAGTGTTTACTGGCAAGATACCTATACACTTTTTGATCTCAATATAAATAAGAGTGATTTGACGAAATATTTGCACTTGTGTAACTACAGAAAGACTGTACAAAATTAGATGATTCTTTTAGTGTAAATTTAAGGAGAAATTTGGTTAATTCATCAATAACATTGTTATGTATTTGAAAAGTATAATATATGCATACTTAATATGCAATAAAAAAATGCGCATAATTATGTCACAACACAGTTTTTTACCTTATTTTACGTTGAAAATAATCTATATGTATTCCCCGATTTGGAACTGAAACTACAACCACATTCGTAATACCTATATTTGCGACAACTAGATCAATATTATACCAGTAAACTAAACTGTAAATATTACTCAATACAATATTATTATAGTGATAAATAAGTATGAGAAAAATATGTTATGATTCATTGACACTATCTTTGTAGGTCATTTTTATTATCCGACAGTCACTTACTAAGGGGATATTTAATATGTAGGTAACTGAAATTCGCTGGTTAATATAATCATCATCATCATCATCAACAGCCTATAAGTGCCCACTGCTGAGCAAAGCCTCTCCTCACACGGAGAAGGTTTGAGCATTAATTACCACGCTTGTTCAATGCTGGTTGACGATTTCAAACTTATAATTAGAAATTATAAGCCCAGGTGGGAACACGATGGATCACGATGTTTCCTTCACCGTTTGTTAGTGGTGTCTAGATAATCTTAGAAAGTACATATAACTCGAAAAAAGTTACATTGGTACTTGCCATTGGTAGGTTTTGAAACGCACCCTCATTCATAAGAAGCGCGGGCCACCACGACAATTTTACTCTGTGGTCAATGTAAATTTCATAAAACCATATACTACGACTTCAGGAAGTTCTAGAACAATACCAGTTTAAACTTTAAATATCAATGACATCACTTCAACGAGATAAATACCGAATTTGCACAATTTTTGGTACCTACGTATGCTTTAAAATTATCTAAATAAAACCTTTTTTTATGGAATAGGAGGCAAATGAGCAGACGGATCACCTGATGGTAAGCGATCAGCGCTCCCCATGGACACCCACAACACCAGAGGAGTCACAGGCCATTGCCGGCCTTTTAAAAAGGAGTACGCTCTTTTCTTGGTTTATGTTCATAAGTACTTATATTTATGTTTAAAAAAAAATTCTTTGTGCATAAATTATGCATTTTCATTATTAAAAACCAAAATAGGTATCATATTACTAATTACATAGTCCTTTTATATTTGTTTTACTTAACTCGTCGAGTACCGGTTTTATAGACACAATTAAAGAACAATAGGTCGCGGTCACCGGTGACCGCTTGGTGTTTGACAGTTTAATTATGTTCTACGAATATGATATCAGAACCGGTAGCCTATTTATTATGTAGGTACCTATTGAGAAAAGTGGGTGGCAACTAAGAAGACGTGATATTATTTATGCTATATAGGATCTATATGATATATTATTAAGTATATACTTAGTTTATACGTACCTAATA